TCACCTGCCTCAACCTCCCAAAGTGCTGGGATTACAAATGTGAGCCACTGCACCTGGCCAGAGTGTAATGTTCTTAACCGAATAATTTTCACTGCAACAGAAAAATTTTAAATTAATTCATAATAATTGTACATATTGAGTACTTATAGTGTTTTGATAGGTGCATTCAATATGTAATGATCAAATGAGGGTATTTAAACATTTACCCAAACATTTACCATTTCTTTGTTGTGGGAACATTTTATATCTTCTCTTTTAGTTATTTTGAAATATGCAATAAATTGTTACTATATTTACCCTATTGTATTAAACACTAGAATTTATCCCGTATATGTAACTCCTTTTCTATCCCCATTAACCAAACTCTCTTCATCCCTCCCTCTCACCCTTCCCAGCCTCTGGTAACTATCATTCTACTTTCTACCTCCATAAGACCAACTTTTTTGACTCCCACATATGAGTGAGATTATGGAGTATTTGTCTTTCTATGCTTGGCTTATTTCATTTAACATCATGACCTCCAGTTCCATCCATGTTGCTGCTAATGACAGGATTTCATTCTTTTTTATGGCTGAATAGTATTCCATTGTATATATTTATCACATTTTCTTTATCCATTCATCTTTGATGGATACTTAGACCGATTCCATATCTTGGCTATCGTGAGTAGCGTTGTAATAAACATGGAGATGTAAGTATCCGGTTGATATGCTGATTTTATTTCCTTTGCATAAATACCTAGTAGTGGGTTTGCTGGATCATATGATAGTTCTGTTTTTAGTTTTTTGAAAAGAAACCTTGATAATGTTTTTTTATAATGGCTGTACTAATTTACATTCCCACCAACAGTGTATAATAGTTCTGTTCTCTCTACATCCTTGCCATCATTTGTTACTTTCTTTTTCATAATAGCCATTCTGGGCTAACTGGGGTAAGATGATATGTCACTGTGTTTTTGATTTGCACTTCCCTGATGATTAGTGATGTTGAACATTTTTTCATATACCTGTTGTCCATTTATATGACATCCTTTGAGAAATGTCTGTTCAGACCCTTTGCCCACTTTGCAGTGAGACTTTTTTTTTTGTTTCTTGTTTTTGCTGTTTCTTTACTTGAATTCCTTTATAATCTGAATATTAGTCCCTTGTCAGACAAATAGTTTGCAAATATTTTCTCCCATTCTACAGGTTGTCTCTTCACTGTGTTGATTGTTTCCTTCATTGTGCTACAACTTTTTCTTAATATAGTCCCATTTGTCTGTTTTTGTTCCTTTACTTGTGCTTTTGAAGTCTTAGCCATAACAATTTTGCCTAGACCGATGTCCTAGAGGATTTCTCCTATGTTTTCCTCTAGTAGTTTCATAGTTGGGGACCTTAGATTTAAGTCTCTCTTTTGAGTTGATTTTTGTATATGATGAGAGGTAGGGGTCTTTCTTTCTTTCTTTCTCTTTCTTTCTTTCTTTCTTTCTTTCTTTCTTTCTTTCTTTCTTTCTTTCTTTCTTTCTCTCTCTCTCTCTCTTTCTTTCTTTCTTTCTTTCTCTCTCTCTCTCTCTCTTTCCTTCCTTCCTTCCTTCCTTCCTTCCTTCCTTCCTTCCTTCCTTCCTTCCTTCCTTCCTTCTTTCCTTCCCTCTTTCCTTCCCTCTTTCTTTCCCTCTTTCCCTCTTTCCTTCCTTCCTTCCTTCCTTCCTTCCTTCCTTCCTTCCTTCCTTCCTTCCTTCCTTCCTTCCTTCCTTCCATGCATGGAATTGCATTGAATCTTTATTAATGAATTTATTAATTTATTAATTTATTTATTTGAGATGGAGTCTCGCTCTGTCGCCCAGGCTGGAATGCAGTGGCACAATCTCGGCTCACTGCAGCCTCCGCCTCCCGAGTTCTAGTGATTCTTCTGCCTGAGCCTCCTGAGTAGCTGGAATTATAGGCATGTGCCACCACACCTGGTTAATTTTTATTTATTTATTTATTTTTTTGAGATGGAGTCTCACTCTTGTTGCCCAGACTGGAGTGCAATGGCACAACCTAGGCTCACTGCAACCTCCACCTCCCGGGTTCAAGCGATTCTCCTGCCTCAGCTTCCCAAGTAGCTGGGACTACAGGCATGTGCCACCACGCCCGGCTTATTTTGTATTTTTAGTTGAGATGGGGTTTCTCCATGTTTGTCAGGCTGGAATCGAACTCCCCACCTCAGGTGATCCACCCGCCTCAGCCTCCCAAAGTGCTGGGGTTACAGGCACGAGCCACCGTGCCCAGCAATTTTATATTTTTAATAGAGATGAGGTTTCACCATGTTGGCCAGGCTGGTCTCAAACTCCTGACCTCAAATGATCAGCGCCCCTCGGCCTCCCAAAGTGCTGGGATTACAGGCATGAGCCACAATGCCTGGCCACGTTGAATTTTTTTTTTTTTTTTTTTTTAGATGGAATCTTGCTCTGTCGCCCAGGCTGGAGTGCAGTGACACGATCTCAGCTTACTGCGACCACTGCCTCCCAGGTTCAAGCAATTCTTCTGCCTCAGCCTCCCCAGTAGCTGGGACTACAGGCACCCACCACCACGCCTGGCTAATTTTTTGTATTTTTAGTAGCGATGGGTTTCACCATGTTAGCCAGGATGGTCTCGACCTCCTGACTTCATGATCCGCCTGCCTCGGTCTCCCAAAGTGTTGGGTTTACAGGTGTGAGTCACCGCACCCAACCTTTTGAGGGTTTTTGTGTCTTTGTTCAACAGAGATATTGGCCTGTAGTTTTCTTTTTTGTTGTGTCTTTGCCTGGTTTTGGTATCAGGGTAATGCTGGCTTTGTACAGTGATTTAAGAAGAGTTTCCTCTTCTTGGATTCTTTGGAGTAGTTTGAGCAGAATTGTTGTTGTTCTTTATATATTTGGTAGAATTCAGCAGTAAAGCCATCTTGTCCTAGACTTTTCTTTGTTGGGAGACTTTGTGTTACTTATTCAGTCCAGTTACTCCTTACTGTTCTGTTTCTTCCCAGTTTAATCTTGGTAGGTTGTATGTGTCCAGGGGTTTATCCATTTCCTCCAAGTTTTCCTATGTGTTAGTGTACATTTGTTTATAGTAGTCTCTGATGATCCTTTGTATTTCTCTGTTGTCTATTGTATGTCTCCTTTATCTTTTTTTTTTTTTTTTTGAGATGGAGTCTTGCTCTGTCACCTAGACTAGAGTGCAGTGGCCTGATCTCGTCGCACTGCAAACTCCACCTCCTAGGTTCAACCAGTTCTCTGCCTCATTCCTCCCAAGTAACTGGGGTTACAGGTGCCTGTCACCATGCCTGGCTAATGTTTGCATTTTTAGTAGAGATGGGGTTTCACCATCTTGACCAGGCTGGTCTTGAACTCCTGACCTTGTGATCAACCCGCCTCTGCCTTCCAAAGTTCTGGGATTATAGGTGTGCACCACCGCGCCCGGCCCCATGTCTCCTTTTTCACTTCTGGTTTTGTTTATTTGGATCTTCTTTTCTATTTTCTCAGTCTAGCTAGAGATTTTTTTTCTCTGCATATGCATTTACTTTCTTACATTATCTCAGACTTTCCTGGCTGCACAGACTAGGTTAAACCCTTTATTTTCTCCTTGGTAACACCCATCACAGTTATTTCTTTTCTTTTTTTTTTTTTGAGACAGAGTCTCACTCTGTCGCCCAGGCTGGAGTGCAGTGGCACAATCTCTGCTCACTGCATCCTCTGCCTCCTGGGTTCAAGTGATTCTCCTGCCTCAGCCTCCCAAGTAGCTGGGATTACAGGCGCCCGTCACCATGCCCAGGTAATTTTTGTATTTTTAGAGATGGGGTTTCGCCATGTTGGTCAAGCTGGTCTTGAACTCCTGACCTCAGGATTTGCCAGCCTCCACCTCCCATAGTGCTGGGATTACAAGTGTGAGACACCACACCTGGCCCCATCACAGTTACTTCTTGTTTAACATAAAATCTACCCTACTAGATGTCAGCTCCAAGAAGCAGAGTCCAGATTTCCCCAGGATCTAACACAATGCCTGCTATGTAACAAGTGCTCAGTAATATTGGTGTAATTGAATTGGTTTGATTCAGTTATTTAAATTTTGTTTCCCCACCTCCACTCAGGTAATCTTTCTTACATAAAGTTTGCTACACTGAATCTTCAATCTTAGGATATAAGGACAAATCATAATTTTATAAATAAAAGGGATTATGGGGGCTTTGAGAGTTGTGAGTTTAGATTTAAAATATGGATGTAATCTTCATCAAAGACCTCATGTTACTTTTTTTGAAAACCCTTTTATTTTGAAAAGTCATAAAGTATTATAAAGAATTACAGCGTGCTCTTCTTCATCTAGATTTTCCAATGTTAACGTTAACATTCTACTACATTTGCTTTATGTGTCCTCTCTATGTATATATATGTAGAGGAAAAGATGCATCTTTTATCTCAATACTTTAATATATATTTCCACAAAACACGGATGATCTCTTAACGTAACCAACACAGACATCAAAATTAGGGAATTAACATTGATTCCATACTGTTAACTATCTGTAGAACTTACTAATTTTACCACACTCCTATGTGGAAAGGAAAAAAAAAAGGACCCAAGATCTAATCTGAGATCACATGTCACATTTAATTGTCATGTCTCTCTAGTTCTTGTTCTGTGTCTTTCATGACCTTGACATTCATGTAGTAGAGGTTTATTTTGTAGATGGTCTCTCTGGGTTTGTGGGATGCATTGTCATGATTAGATTCATGTTATGCATTTTAGGTAGGAATATCGCAGAAAGGATACTGTGTTTATTTCTATACATCATTTCAGAAGTCACATGATATATCTCTGTCCTGTTATTACTGGTGATATGTAACTTTGATCACTTTCTTGGTTAAGGTGGCGTCTACCAGTTTCCTCTATTGTAAAGTTGCTTCCCTTCCTCCCCACTAATTGTTATTAATTAATAAGTGTCTTCTTTTTCTATTTTAATTTACTTAAATTTCTGGGTGTCTTTTTCTTTTAATATTTAATTTTGAGGTCCTGACCAAAGAGCAGATTTGTACTTGGAAGGAAAAGACCAGCTCGGGGGTTGGTTTCAGTCATCCTTATTAACAAGTGTGGCCACAAGGAAGAAAGCACCTTATAAGTAAGTATTTATACCTGAGCCAACCTGCTGAGTACCTGCCAGTGTGTGAAGCACTATGCTGAGTACTATAGAGATGATAAGGCACCACCCTTGATTGCTTACAGTGTCCTGTAAGAATTTGAAGTAAAAAAAAAGAGAAAGGACACAGAAGACAACACCAACGTGTCTTGTGAGTGTGATGCAGATCAGAACTCCTTGAAGAAAAAGTCAGCATTGACTGGAGTAGTTGGGGGAACTTATGTAGTTCTGTTTTGTTTTGTTTTTTGAGAAAGGACCTCATTCAGTCACCCAGGCTGGAGTGCAATGGTGTGGTCAGAGCTCGCTGCAGCCTCCATCTCCTAGGCTCAAGCAATCCTCCTGCCTCAGCCTCCTGAGTAGCTGGGACTACAGACATGCACCACCACACTTGGCTAATTTTTACTTTTTTTTTTTAGAGATGCATTCTCCTCCCATTGCCCATGCTGGTCCCAAACTCATGGCCTGAAGCAGTCCTCCTGCCTTGGCCTCCCAAAGTGGTAGGATTATAGGCGTGAGCCACCATGCCGGGCCTAGAACTAGATCTTGATCTATGGTAAAACTTGACCAGGAGGAATGTAGGGAAGGATATTCGAGGTTGAGAGAAGACAGCCTGAGTGCAGATGTCCTTTATATTTGTAATATCCACAGTGGCTAGTGAGCTGAAACATTGCTTTCGTGAATTTTATTAAATTAGGTATTCTCATTTAGTACACATAATTACTTTTTCAAACGTGTGGGTGAAAATACTAATCAGAAAGATTCCTAAATAGCTTAGCTTAAGATTGTGGCTCTCTTAGGATAAAAATCCATCCCAGAACGTTTTGCATGTTTCTTTTTTTTTGAGATGCACTCTTGCTCTGTCGCCTAGGCTGGAGTGCAGTGGCGCGATCTTGGCTCACTGCAACTTTTGCCTCCCGGGTTCAAGCGATTCTCCTGCCTCAGCCTCTCGAGTAGCTGGAATTACAGGCACATGCCACCATGCCTGGCTAATTTTTGTATTTTTAGTAGAGACGGGGTTTCACCATGTTGGCCAGACTGGTCTCGAACTCCTGATCTCAAGTGATCCATGCTCCTGAGCCTCCCAAAGTGCTGAGATTACAGGTGTGAGCCACTGTGCCTGGCCCTTTTACATGTTTTTGTTTATTAACGTGTATTTTAAAGACCATTAGAAGGGCGGATCCTATTTTTTTCAAATTGTCTTTTGAAAATAATTTTGAGACGATAATCTGCTCTTTTAAGACATACTTTTTCCTGTTTTTTTTTTTTTTTTTAGACCAAATCTCGCTCTTTCGCCCAACCTGGAGTGCAGAGGCGCGATCTCAGCTCACTGCAACCTCTGCCTCCCGGATTCACGCCATTCTCCTGCCTCAGCCTCCCGAGTAGCTGGGACTACAGGCGCCCAACACGGCACCTGGCTAATTGTTTTGTATTTTTAGTAGAGACGGGGTTTTATCATCTTAGCGAGGATGGTCTCAATCTCCTGACCTCATGATCCACCCGTCTCAGCTTCCCAAAGTGCTGGCATTACAGGCGTGAACCACTGCGCCCAGCCCTTTTTCTTGGTTTTATTTTTTCATTAAATTTTTTTTTTTTTGATTTTTAGTGAATTATATAGTTTTTCCGCTATCACCAGAAAAGGTTTTATAACATTTCCAACACACTAAAAAGTTTTCTCATGCCCATTTGTGGCTAATCTCCACTCCCACCCTAGGGCCCCTGGCAACCACTGATCTTGCTGTCTCTGTAGTTTGCTATTTCTAAACTGGTTAGCTTTAATGATAAAATCAGTACACAGCAGAAGCTCAGAAAATAATCTGTTTAGTGATGAAAATATCTAAAGTTTTCCTTTGTGTAAGTCGAGAGTTCACTAACCATTGTGATACATGAGCTAAGAATGATTTTTTTTTTTTGAGATGGAGTCTTACTCTGTCTCCCAGGCTGGAGTGCAGTGGGATGATCTCAGCTCACTGTAGTCTCCGCCTCCTGGGTTCAAGTGATTCTCATGCCTCAGCCTCCCGAGTATCTGGGACTACAGGCACATGCCACCATACCCGGCTAATATTTGTATTTGTAGTGGAGACGGGGTTTCACCATGTTGGCCAGGCTGGCCTCAAACTCCTGGCCTCAATTGATCTGCCTGCCTTGGCCTCCCAGAGTGTTGGGGTTACAGGCATGAGCCACTGCACCCAGCTGAATTTGACTTTTAAGGAAAGGTTTCGACCGGGCGGGGTGGCTCATACCTGTAATCCCAGCACTTTGGGAGGCCGAGTTAAGTGGATCCCCTGAGGTCAGGAGTAGGTAGGAGAATCTCTTGAACCTAGGAGGTGGAGGTTGCAGTGAGCTGAGATCATGCCACTGTACTCCAGCCTGGGTGACAAGAGTGAGACTCCATCTCAAAAAAAAAAAAAAAAAAAGAAAGAAAAAGAAAAGATTTCATTAATAATCAGTCAAGAAAATTCATATTTTTGTGTCAAACTTAGATACTCTTTTTAGCTATATGTAATCTTCAAAAAGATAATTATAATTGTGTTTATCATTAACATAGCTGGTTTGTCCCTTTAGGACAGTGATTGTTCATGGATTTACCCTTGGAGAAAAGGGAGAAAAGATGTCCAAGTCTCTTGGGAATGTCATTCATCCTGATGTTGTCGTTAATGGAGGACAAGTAGGTGATTCTCTAAAATGTATTTTATTTTTGTTTTAAGGATCTTAAATTGGCAGCCAAAGCCCTTAAGATAGTTACTTCAATGTAAAAATAAAAACTATCTTTTATATTCTCAAATAACACATGATTTTAATGAAAAAGGCAGAGGCTGGGATTGTGGTCCTTTTACCTCATTTCAGGCCTGACTCTCCAGTTAGGTCCCAAACCATGCTGTTCCTTCTTCTTCTTCTTTTTTTTCTTTTTTTTTTTTTTGAGACAGAATCTCGCTCTGTCGCCCACGCTGGAGTGCAGTGGTGCGACTTCAGCTCACTGCAAGCTCTGCCTCCCGGGTGCACGCCATTCTCCTGCCTCAGTCTCCCGAATAGCTGGGACTGCAGGCTCCTGCCACCACACCCGGCTAATTTTTTGTATTTTTAGTAGAGATGGGGTTTCACCGTGTTAGCCAGAATGGTCTTGATCTCCTGACCTTGTGATCCGCCTGCCTCAGCCTCCCAAAGTGCTGGGATTACAGGTGTGAACCACTGCGCCTGGCCTTTTTTAATTGTCTAAGAGCCTTTAAAATGTATAGGTCCTTTTGTGATTCGTAAGTGTGATGATTGGGTTTTCACACTATTGTGTGAGGTATGCCTCCCTCAAACCTTGTTACAGTGTTGGCACATTACTGTCTGAAGTGGAAACAAAAATGTGCAAAGTGTAATTGTATAGTTAAATGGAAATGATAAAGGAAAAAATGAGATTACAACTCCTAAGTGCACATTTCATTATTATGTTGTTGAAAATTATACATTTTAAAGCAGGTCCTAAATGTACATCAAATCTGAGGTTGCTGATAATTTGGGGGGGGTTTTGGGGCTGCTTTTGTGAAATAAATCGTTTGTCTGTTTTTTTAATTTTTTATTTTTTGACTCCTGTGGCTTTTTACTGCCCTCCTAACATCCTGTAACCATTCACTGTTTTGTATACAGAGTTGCTAGGAAATAGTGAAAGGAAAAGCAGGCCTTCCTCTTCCCCTCCCTTATTATAGAGACCTCCCTGGCACTGCTGTGTGTCTAACTGCCAGCTGTAATAGATGGAAACAGATATGACCAGGGAAGAGATTAGGTATGAGCATTTGTGCATTGAACAAAATTGCAGAGCACCCTCTTTCTTTTTCCAGTTTTTTTTTTGTAGATACAGCCTAATTTGAGATTGTTAGCCTGCATTTCATTACAATGCTAGTATAGTTTATATTTGTATTGTGCTCAAAAATTTCAGAATAGGAGCTTTACCTAAAACATCTGTTCAGCTAATTGGAATTGAAAGCCATTTTGTTTATATATTTTTTCTCAATGAAAAGGATCAAAGCAAAGAGCCTCCCTATGGCGCTGATGTCCTTCGCTGGTGGGTAGCTGATTCCAATGTCTTCACCGAAGTTGCAATCGGCCCATCCGTGCTCAATGCTGCCAGAGATGATATTAACAAGGTTAGAACCATTATTCTTCCTATTTCTAAAGGACAGGTTTGCCAAATCAGTGTTTTAAAAAATGAGACACATTTTGTTTGGCACTGAAGAAACTGAATGAAAATGAGTTCTCCATATATTGTGAGCTTTTAAAAATCTCCTGTGTTGGCCAGGCATGGTGGCTCATGCCTGTAATCCCAGCACTTTGGGAGGCCGAGGTGGGTGGATCACGAGGTCAGGAGTTCGAGACCAGCCTGGCCAACATAGTGAAACCCTGCCTCTACTAAAAATAAAAAATTAACTGGGCGTGGTGGCGCATGCCTGTAGTCCCAGCTACTTGGGAGGCTGAGGCAGGAGAATTGCTTGAACCCAGGAGGTGGAGGTTGCAGTGACCTAAGATCCCACCACTGGACTCCAGCCTGGTGACAGCGTGAGACCTCGTCTCAAAAATAAAAAAGTCTTGTGTTAATTTATTTGTTTCAAAACATTGGTAGTAATACCAGTAACTTTATATAATTTGTATATAATATCCTTTATATTTTATTAATATATAAAATGTAGTATAGCATAGTATAGATTATATTAATTTTGTATATTTATGTACTCAATAACCTTTCAGATTTTTCCATGTATCTTTATTTTCACCTGTGAAGCAAGTGAAATAACATTATTCTGACCCACACACATGAATAAACTGGGCTACTGAAAGGTGATTCGTCCTAACGTAATAAAGAAATGTAATGAAAATTCAGTCATTAGGCATAAAAATCCTGTGGTTGTTTCTATAACTGGGCTATTGGAATAAGAGTTTGTTGTGTACTTTTTGTCTTTTATTTTTTTACATTTGTAGTGTTATTTGGAATGATAATAAAAATACCCCATTAAGAAAATGACAAGAGTTGGATGAATCCAACTTTATTACAGAGTAAAAGCATAACTTTTCAGTGAACATTGAAGGCATCATTAAATTTTTTTAACTGCGTATCTTTTCTTCCTATGAATAGCTTAGGAATACACTCCGCTTTCTTTTGGGAAATGTGGCTGATTTCAACCCAGAAACAGATTCCATCCCTGTTAACGATATGTATGTCATAGACCAGTATATGCTACATTTACTGCAGGATTTGGCAAACAAGGTAAATGTAAATTAATAAACTTCTGGAAACTAGAAATATCAGCACTATTTTAGGTTAAAATTTTAGTTTTATCTCAGTGGAACAGACCTTACTGGAAATAGTAACTATAGCACTCTTGAAAAGGTTATGCTTGCTAAATTCCACACATTCCCAGGTTGGCCTTAGGTATAAAGTGTTTTCATATCTTTTGAGTTTCTTAAAAGATTAGAGAAATATGTCCAGACCAGACTTTTCTCTTACGATTAGCTCTATTTCTCCAACAAGAAGGAATAAAGTGGAGTTATACTTTATTTATCTGCAGATGTGCTTCTCATAATAAAGTACAGAAATAACCAAAATGACTATTCCTATTTATCTCATAAGATATTTGCTCATTTTTATATAGACTTAAGTAATTTGTGTTTTCTGGCTGGGTGCAGAAGCTCACACCTATAAATCCTACCACTTTGGGAGGCCAAGGTGGGAGGATTCCTTGAGGCCAGGAGTTCAAGACCATCCTAGGCAACAGAGCAGGAACCCATCTCTACAAAAGTTTTAAAAATTAGCCAGGCGTGTTAGCGAGTACATGTAGTCCCAGCTCCTTGGGAGGCTGAGGCAGGAGGATCGCTTGAGCTCAGGGTTTTGAGGCTGCGGTGAGCTGTGATTGTGCCACTGCACTCCAGCCTGATTGACAGAGTGAGACCCTGTCTTTAAAAAAAAAAAAACAAAATGGTGTTTTCTCACAATTGGAAATGTGTTTGCATTAGTGCACCCTTAAGTCAGAGTGTACATACCAGTTTTGCCCAATCAAAAATAAATGAGGCATCAATGAAGGAACACTAATGAATTGTTGGTAACTTCCACTGTTTACTGTTGTAAAACTGGTGTGCTTTTATTATTTACAATCTCATTCTTTCCTTGATTAATGTTCTTTCGTAGTTCTCAGAGTAAAATAGTATTTTCTGAGTGTAGTCAAATGTGTTATCCAGAAATGACATTCTGAAGATTCCCAGGAGTTCTTGCATATTTCCTGTTTTGTGTTTGTCTCTTTGAAATATATTTTTGAAATGAGCATATTTTGCTTGTGATGACTTAACATTTTCATTTGCCTGTCTCAGCTTCCGAATTTATTTTGACTTTGTTCCCTAGATTACCGAATTATACAAACAACATGATTTTGGAAAAGTTGTTCGGCTGTTACGGACATTTTATACCAGAGAGCTGTCTCACTTTTATTTCAGTATAATCAAAGATAGGTATGTATGACTAAATATTAAAATGCTTAACAATGGCCAGGCGTGGTGACTCATGCCTGTAATCCCAGCACTTTGGGAGGCCGAGGCGGGTGGATCACATGAGGCCAGGAGTTCAAGACCAGCCTGGCAAACATGGCAAAACCCTGTGTCTACTAAAAATACAAAAAATAACTGGGCATGGTGGTACATGCCTGTAATCCAAGCCAGTCAGGAGACTGAGGCACGGGAATCGCTTGAACCTGGGAGGCGGAGGTTGCAATGAGCGGAGATTGTGCCGCTGCACTCCAGCCTGGGCGACAGAGCAAGACGTCGTCTCAGAAAACAACAACAACAAAACCTCGGCAACTATTTTTTGAGTGTCTACTTGTGTTTGGCAACCGTCGGGGATTCAGTGATGAGCACGACGGGCAGTGTTGTGCAGTTATTAAGACTGGATTCCGGAGTCAAGCCTGAGTATAAAGGTTTGCCCTGCCGCTTACTAGCTTTCTGATTTGGGGCAACTTATTCTGTAATCTGTTTCTTCATCTGTAAAATGAGTATAATAATACTTACCTCGTGATTGAGAAGGAAAAGCAATAATGTGCTGTGCTTGATAAAGTGTTCAAAAAATCATCACTGCTAGTATCAGATGATGAACATAATACTTGTTCTCAGGAGTTCTCAGATCCTGAGGGGAAGAGAGAGAGATGTATGTGCAATTATGTGGTAACACTGTATAATATTAGCAGTATCCTTGTAGAAGAGGGCTGGATGCCAAGTCTTCATCTGTTGCTCCATTGGGCAGGTGATGGTCCTATCTTTATGATAATGAGTCCAGTCTGAGGTGTTAGCCTCAGCCTGTCAGCACCACAAGGACCTTGCACATAGGGATTCTAACTCCTACTCCTTCCCTTAAAACACTAATAGCATTGTAGTGGGTAGGAGCCACATGTGAAATACCGTCAACTAACTTATTCACAGTCCTTTAATATGGTAGTCTAGACTCTGGTTGTCATCCACCTGAGAAACAGAATGAGATAGCTAGCCATGAGTGCTTTCGAGGAGGTGGGTACATCTGGATGGAGTGAAATTGTAGGAGAGTGTATTGTATTCTTTAAGTAGAAGATGATTACAACCATAAGATTAGCCACTAGGAATAAACTCAACCTGAGGCAGGTCCTATTTTGGTGACCATAATGTGTAAAGTATTGTCAACTGCTGAATAAGTTGTTCTTGTTCAGGCTCTATTGTGAAAAGGAAAATGACCCCAGACGACGCTCTTGTCAGACTGCATTAGTTGAAATTTTGGATGTAATAGTTCGTTCTTTTGCTCCCATTCTTCCTCACCTGGCTGAAGAGGTGTTCCAGCACATACCTTATATTAAAGGTAAGGAATACTTTGTTTATTCTCTTAATGAGAAAGAGCCCTGATAAAGGTGCGACTTCTAATTTTATCTGCTTCATAAAAGGGGCACTTATCCATTTACAGTGACTGCTCTATGACAGTATATCTTGGTCATGTATTTGTTTCTGCACCTGTTTGTAGAGGAGTAGGGTAAATTTCAGAATTCTGTGTTTTCTGAAATGTATTAGCAGCTTGACTGTGTTGAGAAATCACTTTTTTTCTTAAATACCTTTATAAATGTTCTGAAATGGCCAGGTGTGGTGGCTGACGCCTGTAATCCCCGCACTTTTGGAGGCTGAGGTGGGTGGATCGCTTGAGGTCAGGAGTTCAAAACTAGCCAGGCCAACATGGCGAAACCCCATCTCTACTGAAATGAGCCGGGCATGGTGGTGGCGGGCGCCTATAGTCCCAGCTACTTGGGAGGCTGAGGTAGGAGAATTGCTTGAACTCAGGAGATGGAAGTTGCTGTGAGCCAAGATCATGCCACTGTACTTCAGCCTGGGTGACAGCGCAAGACTCCTTCTGAAAAAAGAAAAAAAAAAGTTCTGAAATATATTTTAGGTTATATTAAAACAAAATATAGTGCTTTTAGCGAGTATTATATGATAGCTGTATAAAGGGGGGAAGTCACTTATAATCTTACTACTGATAGCTGTTAATATTGGGATATTTCTATATATTTTTTTCTAAGCATCCTTTTTTTTATTTGAGCTCTTATTATATATTTTCTCTTTTGTTTAAACGTAGCAAATATTTTCCAGTGCTGATAGAAATGTTTTGTAAGTAATTAGGATGGCTCCATAATATTTCATCACTTGATTACCGTAAATAACAATTCTTATTTCCCATTAATGGTAAATATTTAATGGTTAGAGCTTCATATACAGCTTAGGATGTTTGTAAAGCAGTTTACTGTTTTTATTCTTCTGAAGAGCCCAAGAGCGTTTTCCGTACTGGGTGGATTAGTACCAGTTCTATCTGGAAGAAGCCCGGGTTGGAAGAAGCTGTGGAGAGTGCGTGTGCAATGCGAGATTCATTTCTCGGAAGCATCCCTGGCAAAAATGCAGCTGAGTACAAGGTTATCATAGTGATAGAACCTGGACTGCTTTTCGAGATAATAGAGGTATGCAGCAATATGTCCCTTTTGAAATGGTGTTAGTATCATAGAGCTTTGCCTGAAATTTGCTTTTAAAATGTGTCTAAATTAAAAAAAAATTAATTTAGAAATTAGGGTTTATCTTCTAATCCTGATATTATCACTGATTCTTTGTTTCCTACTTCACCATGTTCTTTTCCATGTCTTGTAAAACATGTTCTATGCATGTAACACGTATATGTTACTGTGCAGGGACAGGGAAGGAATAAATAAAGTTCTGTTTCAAATCAAAGGCCTCAGGACTATTTAGAAGACAGGTGACATATAAATTCATCATGATCGTCTTCGAATGTATAAAAATTGGGAGTTTTGTATTAAGGGTCAGGTTTCCTGAGAATTTCATCCATCTGGACCAGATTCAAAGCGAACCCAAAAAGAGTTTCCATTCTTATTTTGTGAAATCTGGAGAAAATTCATTTTATCCAGCAAGTTACCACATATATTTCAAAGCATTTATCCTGTTTTTATTTCCAGAAGGGCCATCAGAATTTTCTTCTTGGGATTTTTAGGGTTGATTGGCCAGATTGGTTTATAGCTTCACATAATGATGTGATTTTTCTCCAGTCTAAATGCTTAAGAAGAGAATTGTCAATGAATATAATTTTTTTTTTCCATGAGGCATTTTATTTGTAAATATATGTATTACATCCCTAAAAAAAGAATCCCAGGATTTTCCCTCCTGTGCGTTTTCATCTTGCTTCTTCATGGTCCATGATGCCAGCTGAGGTTGTCGGTACAATGAAACCAAACTGGCGGGATGGAAACAGAATTATTTTGCCATTTTTCTAGATCTTTGAGTTGCACATCAAATCTGGGGCTGATCACTCCATACTTGTTTAGCCTGCCTGTGAGGTTCACAACAGTTTTCCCAGCTCTGTGATCATCAGTGATTTCAGATTTGCCAATGTAACCATGCTTTACCATCACAGTGAGAAACCGGATGATGACTTTGGAGCGTGGCCTAAAGCCTGGCTTTTGCCTCTCTTTCGGCACTGTTGGTGCTCTCGAGAGCATCAGCCAGGACATTCATGTGCACCATCGTGGCGGTGCAGAAAGATGGTGGAAAGAGCTATTTTTAAAAAGTTTTATTAGTGTCAGTTTTCTAAAAAATACCCATCTCATTTTGTATGGTAAGCTCAATTTAAATTTTTAATGATGTGATTAGCGTGATTAAGATTTGAGCTTGAAATAGCTAGTAGGTATAATAGATGAGGTGGTCACATTTTAAAATTTAAAACTTGGGAAGCTGTTCATTTTACAAGCAAGGGAGTGAGGACTGCTGAAGCTATGACCTAGCCAGGGTAACACAGCCTAGTCCTGGCCTTTTTTCCTGCATACTGTGTTTCCTTTGACTTCAGTCTTTCTAAGTAATAAACTGAAAAGAACAGCTTGTTTGGATCAATCTTTATTGGAAAAAATACTTTGGGATTTTCAAAAACATGAATGTGTTTTCCTTAGGAATCATACCAAGTAGCTGTCAGATGGAGTCCTGGTTCCGTCCATTACTAATTGTATAAACTTGTTAAAACCAAATTCATCTCTTTGAGTCTCCTGTTTCTCATGGACTCTCATTTTTAAAGGAATGTCTGTGTTGGTTAGCTTAAAAACTCACTTTGAAGATCAAAATTACAGAGTAAAGTGTGTTCATCAGACAAATTCAGTCTACTTCAGAAGCGTTCTGTGTATTGTTCAGATTGCCACGATCAGTATATATTACTAAAAGCAGGTACCTGTTGAGATAGTATTTTAGCTCCTCACCCAATGATACATGAAAAAAAAAAAAAAGGCTTTGAGGCTGGCAGACCTGGGCTTGACCTGCAGTTCCACCACTTACTGGTTGAGAATCTTGGGCAAGTTAACCTCTCTTTGCTTGTTTCTTCATTTGTAAAGTGAGGATAATAAACACCATATAGGTTTTTTTTGTGTGTATGCGACAATTAGAAATAAGAGACATTATAGGATCTAGCAAAGTGAAGTGCCTGGCATTCTCAATAAATACTGTTGATGGACATTTTTAGTTAAAACCTTTTATACTAATTAGGATTGATGCATTTAATGGTATTTGCTCAGGATGCAATGGTATACCAAAAGGTTCCTCTCTAAACATGAGAATTTATAGTGTCTCTTTTTATAACCTCAGTTTATGGTAAAAATTTAACATAAACTGTAACTTTCACATGCTTTCTTACAGATGCTGCAATCTGAAGAGACTTCCAGCACCTCTCAGTTGAATGAATTAATGATGGCTTCTGAGTCAACTTTACTGGCTCAGGAACCACGAGAGATGACTGCAGATGTAATTGAGCTTAAAGGGAAATTCCTTATCAACTTAGAAGGTAAGAAGGAGGTGAAAGTAACAAGTAACATCTGGAGAATTGAATAACTCTAGGTCATCTCCAACTTCCCATGGACTAGATTTATTCTAAAGGTAGATATGTACTTAGAATACGTCTTTCTGTGGAAATAATATAAACAATTGCCAAGTTTCTAAGCCCGCTGTTAAAAGTATCTTGCCTGATGATCTTGGGAACTGAGGGCTAGGGACTGAAGAGGGAGATTTTCTTTCTGTCCTTTAAATAAATAATGGTCATTTTATATGAAGTTTATGTTAGTCTGACTTGCTCCCATTTCCCTTTTGTGTCCCCCTGCTTTGATACTTAGTACCCCAGTACTGGCCCAGTCCTGCCCACTGTTCCCCAGTGTTGATTCTAAAATTTCCTATTATGTGTACCCCAGATTAAAATATTTAGCCATTCTTGTGAGGGATTAAGGAGGAAGTTTTATTGAGCTCATTCTAATGATGGTATCTCATAAGCAAGCATTTTGTCAATATTTGTTTTATAGAAGATTTTAAAAGTCAACCTGGTTCATTTTCATTGGTGGAGGTAGAGTTGCATTAATAAAGAAAAATAGGCCGGGTGCGGTGGCTCACTCCTGTAATTCCAGCACTTTGGGAGGCCGAGGCAAGGTGGATTGTGAGGTCAGGAGATCGAGACTATCCTGGCTAACATGGTGAAACCCCATCTCTACTAAAAATACAAAAAATTAGCTGTGCGTGGTGGCATGCGCCTGTACTCCCAGCGAGGCTGAGGTAGGAGAATGGCGTGAACCTGGGAGGCGGAGCTTGCAGTGAGCCGAGATCACACCACTGCACTCCAGCCTGGGCAACAGAGTGAGACTCCGTCTCAAAAAAAAAAAAAAGAAAAATAAGCAGGTACCTTGGCAAAGGTTATGCTGCTTGTGTTTTTCATAGCTTTTGGGTACCAGGAGATGGGAAGCTAACTTACAGGCAGCAGTTCAAATTTGGGCTTGGCAGCACAGACCATGTAGTAAAAGTTCTGGCTAAATTTACTTTGTATAATTTTTTCTTTCCTTTTTTTTGAGACAGAGTTTTGCTCTTGTCACCTAGGCTGGAGTACAATGGCGCAATCTTGGCTCACTGCAACCTCCGCCTCCCAGGTTCAAGCAATTCTTCTGCCTCAGCCTCCCAAGTAGCTGAGATTACAGGCGCCCACCACCACACCCGGCCAATTTTTGTATTTTTAGTAGAGACAGGGTTTCACCATGTTGGTCAGGCTGGTCTCGAACTCCTGACCTCAGGTGATCCACCTGCCTCGGCCCCCCAAAGTGCTGGGATTACAGGCGTGAGCTACCATGCCCAGCCATGTAATGTTAATATACTCTTTGTACAATGACTAGATTACTTTTATATTTTTATCAGTCCGAAGTCTAAGAGTATTAATTGTGGAGATATTTTTGGTTCCTTCTGTCCCATGAGAAATTTTGAGTGAGGACACCGTAGTTGTCACTATAATTTGGCTTTTAAAAATTCTTAGTCATGTATGTAGCTGGAGAGGCAGTGTCATTCATCAGAACTATATCAAGATTTAACAGCTAGAAAGTCTGCTCTGCCTGCGTAGATGTAGAACTCGGTGACTTGGGAGATGTCAGTTAAGTCACGGGGTCTCTAATTCCTCAGCTCTCTTCAGTTGTCGAGTTGTATGATCCCATTATCTTGGCTATATATGTAATGGGGCAAATGGGGAAGTGTCTAACAAGCTTTACCAAGGCAGGACAGAAGACTGAAAAAGAAGCCTCTGCTAAACCAATTAAGAAACAGTGTTACAAGTTGAATGCCATTCAGAAATTCTCTTCATGTATTTTTTTATAGGTGGTGATATTCGTGAAGAGTCTTCCTATAAAGTAATTGTCATGCCGACTACGAAAGAAAAATGCCCTCGTTGTTGGAAGTATACAGCGGAGTCTTCAGATACACTCTGTCCTCGATGTGCAGAAGTTGTTGGTGGAAAATAGTATTAACAGCTCACTTGAGCAAGAACCCTCCTGACAGTACTGGCTAGAAGTTTAGATGGATTATTTACAATATTGGAAAGAAAGCCAAGATTTAGGTAATGAGTGGATGAGTAAATGGTGGAGGATGGTCAAAATCAGAATTATAAAAGAAGTATTTCCTGTAACTATAGAAAGAATTATGTATATATGTATGCAGAAATATATATATGTGTGTGTATCTGTGGATGGATATATATATATCTTCCTATATATATCCATAATGGACTTATTCAGAAATAGATATGTATTCAGCTTGTCTTCAAATATGGCCGAGCAGAAAATGTTTTATATTTTATAAATCTTTTGACTCAGTATTTAAATTCTATCACACTGAAAATAAAGGCATTCTGGAAAAGTACTGACTGATGTTGGTGCAGAAGTTGTCAATAGCAAGTAAAAGAAGTAGAGTTTTGAAAGGGAATGGCGAAGGCATGTTTCCCTTAAGAGGTGAAGGGTCATATCATTCTTCCTGTTAGTGAACATCAACCTTTTCAGAATAGCTAGTTTTTGGGGTTGGATTAGAAAGAAAATAATCACCACATATGTTACTCAAGAGAGGAAGAAATCTCTTAATACTTATGAATGTTTAGGAAACAACATGAAAGCTGAAAATTTATTTCACTAATATACATAAGTTCACAACAATGGACAGAAAATAGCAATATATACAGAATTTCACTACTTACAGTACATTACAATAGAGAAAGCATTTTATAAACAATTCAGTATTGGATTAAAGTCTTTTAAAGATGCCTAATTCTATTCAGCAGGAATCTAACTTGGTAGACACCCAGCAAACCCATTCCTATCAGGGTGAGAGGGCTTTCGCTGTTGCTATAGTGTACTGTAAAAATATTTGTCCCTTATAAATGAAATGGACCACAGCAACTTCTGAATGAACATTATATTCAGTGTAAGTCTTATAGTATTAAATTTCAGATTTTTGACTTTAGATCGCAATTGTTTTTAAAAAGCAATTTAAATGTAACAGTGTTTATTTTGACCCACAGACGAATTTTTATAATAAAGTTAAAACTTTTTTTCTGTTTGCAAAAGTATGATGCATTTAGAAGCATGGTGCTATATATCTCTTTATCTACATTTACCCTGGCCCCTCTAGTTCGACATCTAAACAGAACCTGTAATGTAGAAGTTATGATTATTTGAACACTTTGTTTTCCTTCAGCTTTATATAAATAAGATAAAAATGCATATTTAACATTAATGGAGAAAGTTGTGTGAAGGTGGGCATATATCTAGGGAAACACTACTGGTTATTGGCGTCTCATCAATAACTACAATAAGTGCCACACACCTTTGTTTCAGAAACCACCTGTTCTACATTAAAATCTAATTCCTTTATCATCTATGGCTCTTTGTTGTTATAGAATGTCTACATAGGTATTTATTTGCCTTTCTTCCTATCAGATTTATTTATTTTAAAAGCCCTTGATAAGTAATAAAATATTTAACTGCTTTTGTTAACCATACAAGTCAGAATTCAATTTTAAAATTCTATGAAAAATTTTAGGATAACAAATCTAACTAGAGACTTAATGGTTTGTATCAGGATTCTGTGAGCCATACTTCAGCTTATTATTGTTCTCAGCAATCCCCACATTTGATTGTCTGTTCTACTAGAGTAAGCTTAACCAGTTTTATTATCTAAAATGCTTAATAAGTGCCCCCTCCCCTCCAAGTGATGATGGAATTGAGGATTTAGTCTTTAAAAATACCTATAACTCCAAATTTCTTTGACTAGCCTCCTTAAGTTCATACTACTTTCAGCGTACTTGGAAAAATCACAGGAAGAACTAATCTCTTAGAACACATATAACAAGGGACTGTTAATACAGAGCCGGATATGTTTACAAGAATTCTAGGATGTGTCTGGCTGGGGCAGTGGATACCCAAGCAGAGGCTGGGAGGTTGGACTAGCCCTTTCCAATGCTGCTACTCTATAAAATGTATGTCTCAGTCAGACTCACAGGCCCCCATCCCAAATACTCAAGACATCTTAACCATTTATCTTGTAAGATTTTAAGTTTGATAGTTACTTAACAGTAATTACTAAATTTTAGCCAGTTAAATTCTTGTTTGGATGTGCTCTTTTAGCTCAAAAAACAAGATTTGTTTTTCTTTATATCCCTGAAGGACATACTCCTCAACTTTGCATGATTACTATAGTTGGCTTCTTAAGGGGAAGTGAAGAAACAAACTTCTGTATCACAGTGACTTACTATGAATAATAATTGTGATCCATGACACATACCCATAATTACACTGTAGGGCTACATTCTAAAAATATACCATAATAAATACTTGGTATTTGTAGAGCTCAAAGCACTCTTTTACAGAGTTTTGGTTAGTTTGGTTTTTTCTTTTTCTTTTTTTTTTTTTTTCGAGACAGGGTCTGGCTATATTGCCCAGGATGGCCTCAAACTCCTGGGCTCAAGCGATCGTCCTGCAGCCTCCCGAGTAGCTATAGTTTGGTTCTAGTCAGTAAATATTTAGCACTTGGACTGCTCTAGGCACTATAGGGTACAAAATTAGTTGTATTTTATCCTCTCATCCCAGCTGTGAGGTAGGTTTGCTAAAGCTGTAATATCACTAAGCAGTTTTTTCAATACTGTTCCCAAGATAACAATTAGCAAATCCCAGAAGCATTTCTAAACACTTGTAGGAAAAATAAAGTTGGACTTAAAATTTTTAGTATCTTTGCCTTTTTTTTTTTTTTTTTACATAAGTTTTACAAGATAATACATTTTTACAGTGACCTGATGTGGATACAACTTTGCAACTTGCAAAAAGCAAATCTTAACTTACATTATAATGTAATTTGCTGCATTGTACACACCTCTTATTCTCAATTTTGGCAAGTACAACAGGTTAAGGGTTCTATTTAGTGTCCCCTTCTGATGAATATGATGATCTTGAACCCATTCTTCCTCCTCAAGCATGGTCATCCTCCTCTGATGGCAACAGCAGAACCTCTGGGAAAGGAAGCTTTCAGTATCCAGAACTCCCAGGTGGCAGCCCATGTGGGATTTGGAGCATGACAACAAAGGCATTTTCTCAACATTTACTAAAGGAGAGTGGGGTGTTTCTATACTCTACTGATGGGGACCGTACATGAACACATTTAAATTGAATTACAACAACATTTTCGATAGGAAATATAGAATCTTATAAGAACATAATCTAAATTATAATCAATTTTAAATAGCAAAGGTTAACAATAAAGCTATTTAAGTGTTTGAATTAGAAATAAACAGTAAAACATCTGTATTATAACAGAGTTGATATTTGTTTATATTTTGTCTTCAATATTAACCAAAGGAGTGGAATTTAGCCAGGGTTGTACTTTTTTAAAAGTTGTATATACTTTTATTTATTTTACAAAAGGAAAAAAAAAAAAGACATACTTTCCCCATAAAATTCCAGGTCTTACTATGTAAAATAACCATGCACTACTTCATGTTATAATCATAATTTTAGACTATTTCCAGTAGGTAAGTGTCATAAAGAAGGAAGAGATATGGCTTCCACAGCTTCAACAAGGTGTAAGGCTAGACCATACTGCCCATGTTTTTCTGGTAAAAGCTCGATTACTTTATTTACTAGTTTAGCTGTTGTTGCAATTGGCACTTCAGTGTTTTGAAGGTCCTGGGGGTCCTGCAAATGGGACACAAAAATAACCTATTATCGACAACTAAATAATAATTGTTACTGACTTAAGAGTTATTACATAAAAATGCTTTTCTTTGTAAGTAGGTGAATTACATTTGTCAAATTTTCTTCATAACTTATTAACTAGGCACTCAAGAAAATGACCTTTTGCCTGATCTCGATCTATTGTACTGACCATTGCTTTCAGCCAAGTACACAGTGTGGGTGGAAGTCTGGCAAGCAGCTCCATTCCTTCTTTTGTCTGGGTGTGGAGAAGCGCATGAGCCAGCCTTTGCCCCGTCAGCACCAGCAGCTGAGAGGCAAGGACCTCTTTGTCATGAACCTGTAGAATGGCCTGAAGATAGGAACATGGAGAAATAATACAGTCAGAATGAGCAGATTTGTTTCTTCTATAGGAAAGAGGTTGCCAGTGAAGAGATTCTAGTTGATTTTTGAACTGTGGCCATTTGTCTTTTGATTATATACAACCAAAGATAAATCCAAATCAAACTTAGCATTTAAACCCAAATTTCTGCTCCTTGGTTAATTTTTTTTTTTTCTCTTATCACCTAACCTTTCAAGTCAATATGGCTACTCAGTGTGTTGTTTTCAAACTTTCGGCAAATAAAGGGAGTTTCATGTCATGTCTATTTGAAGCCCTCTAATGGCTTTTTTTTTTTTTTTTTTTTTTGAGATGGAGTCTCACTCTGCCACCCAAGCTGGAGTGCAGCGGTGCAATCTCGGCTTACTGCAGTCTCCACCTCCTGGGTTCAAGCGATTCTCCCGCTTCAGCCTCCCAAGTAGCTCGGATTACAGGCACGCGCCACCATGCCCGGCTAATTTTTTGTATTTTTAGTAGAGACAGGGTTTCACCATGTTGTCCAGGCTGGACTATCAAGTCCATGAGGAAGGAACCTTGTCTGTTTTGTTTACTGCTATATCCCTGTGCGTAGGGCAGGCCTGGCACACTGTAGGAATTATTTGATTATAATTTTATGTTTTAAAAAATAGTATATTGTTCTATTTTTGTACCTAGATGTTCCAACAAAAGGAAGAGCAAAAGGCTTCATTGGAGAGTCTTTATTCCAACTATCAATTTTATAACTTGAGCCCAATTAACATTCAAAGGGTCATGTTACCTCTTCTCCTAAGTGGTCAACTCCATAGTTGTATAGCTCCCCAACATAATGCCTTCTAACAACATCTTCACTAACTTGAAGGTGATGGGCTAAATCCACAGCTAGAGCTGGCCAATCCTGGTCTTTCCCAAAAGGAGTAGGTGTGGCCTCTTCTGTGGGATCTTTGACCTTTGTGGCTGAATGCTGGGCCTGGACAGCTGCACTGACAACTTTCAATAAGAACTTGAAAATGGAGAAAGAGATACAGCAATGTATTGTTACTGTTTCATTTTAAAATACCTAAATCAAAGTATTGTTAGCTTTTTTGTCACTTACAGTGGCTTTTCCATTAAATTGTTTAATTATCAAAAAAAGGAACACATCATTTAAAGGTAAACAACTAGCTTTCAAGAATACTTTGAAAGTGGTCATTTTTTAAAATATTATTTTATTTATTTATTATACTTTAAGTTCTAGGGTACATGTGCACAACGTGCAGGTTTGTTACATATGTATACATGTGCCATGTTGGTGTGCTGCACCCATTAACTCATCATTTACATTAGGTATATCTCCTAATACTATCCCTTCCCCCTCCCCCACCTCACGATAGGCCCCGGTGTGTGATGCTCCCCTTCCTGTGTCCAAGTGATCTCATTGTTCAATTCCCACCTATGAGTGAGAACATGTGGTGTCTGGTTTTCTGTCCTTGCGATAGAAAGTGGTCATTCTTTTCAAAAGCAAGCTAGATTTTTCCTTTACTGTTTTTTTTCCAAGAAACAAAAACAAAATCCAATAGCTGTAATTTACCTGTTGTCGTACAGAAATAAAATTTGGATCCATTTCCCCACTAGGTAATAACTGAATTGAAGTTAGGTCTTTGAAAAATGCATTTTTTCCCTAAAGAGAAAGACAGCAAGAAAATTGATGAGTGTGGATTATGAAGGAGGGAAAGGGAGAAAGATCTGTTTAAAACTTGTCACTTAATGGTTGATTTTCATTTCTCCTTGAACAGTAAGATTTTAGAATTCTTCCGTTAATTTTTATAACAAGTATCTAGTATGGAGTAGACAGCCTTTAAGATGATCCCCAGTGATCCCCTCCTCCTGGTATTCATGTTTCCTATAGTCTCCTCTCCTTGCATGTAGGCTGGTGACTTGCTGCTAGCAAACAGAAGTAGGTAGAGGTGATGGCATGTTACTTCCAAGACCACGTTCCAAAGGCTGCTTCTGCCTTGAGGCACTCATATTCACTCTCACTTGTTCTACAGGAAGCCAGGTTCCATGTTGTGAGCTGCTGTATGGACAGGCACATGCGGCATAAATGAATCTTGCCAACAATTGTGCTTGGAAGTGAATCACCCTTTCCCCATCCCAGCTGAGCTCTCAGATGCAGCACTTTAACTACAGCTTCATGAGAGACTAAGCCAGAGGCACCTAGATAAGGAGAACACAGATTACTGACCCACAGCAACTGTGAAATAAATGTTTGGTATTTTCAGCCAAGCTTTGGGATGATTTGCTCTGCAGTAATAGCTAAGTAATACATATATGTACCCTGAATCTTTTTTTTTTTTTTTTTGAGACAGGGTCTCACTCTGTTGCCTAGGCTGGAATGCTCACTGCAGCCTCCACCTTCCTGGTTCAAGTGATTCTCTGACCTCAGCCTCCCAAGTAGCTAGGACTACAGGCATGTACTATCAAGCCCAGGCTAATTTTTTTGTATTTTTAGTAGAAACGGGGTTTCAGCATGTTGGCCAGGCGGGTCTCAAACTCCTGACCTCAGGTGATCTGCCTGCCTCGGCCTCCCAAAGTGCTGGGATGACAGGCATGAGCCACTGCGCCCAGCCTCTGAATCCTTTTAAAATCACATGTTGAATTGTTTAAAAACACCTTATTTAAAAGAACAGATGTGTGTCTAAAGAGTAAAAACAGAATATCAGGAAACAGGATTTCAGAAGTTCCTTGGAAGGAAATGTAATACAGAGCAAAGAGCACTGGCCTTTGAGTTGAAAGACCTAGGTCTAGTCTGAGGCTCACCACTTCCAACCAGGTTGTCTTGGGTAACTGACCCCCAATCTTGGGTTACTGTTTCTTCTTCTGCATGCAGGTCATCCTAGCAAGGATACATCCTGCAAGCACATCTTCCAATGTGCCTTCCATACCTGATCATCTGTGATTCTAGGTCATCTATTGTGACTGCCAAGCAGATTAAAGCTACTCATCCTTTACTGATAAGAAAAACCAGACTTACAGGGCAACCCATGGCATTTTGGACATCACTGATAGAAGTATTTAAAGATTTAGCACACATTCACAATCTGTTACTCGATAGTTCCCACCTGGTGGTCCTAGCTATAAGCATCTACAATAGTACCACTATTTACTACATTCCAGACACTACGTACTTCATGTTGAATACAAGGAACCCTCACAACAACCATGAGGTTGGCGCTGGAGTCATTGCTACTTTCTGAATGAGAAAACTGAGAGTAAGAAAATCTAAATAATGCTAGTTAGCAAATGGTAGCACTGGCATTGTTTCACTAGCCACTCAACCGTACTAGCTCTCTGCAGATGAGTGTCACCCAGCTGTCTCAGGTAGTCTTGGCATGACATGGGTTGAAACTAAACATTACTGTGCTCGTCCAATTCTGGGTATGTTCTGGTTTCACAAAGACCTTTTCTGAGGGGAATACTGAGCTGGGCACTTTATTTTGGTATTTCTTTCTCTGTTTTAACCTTTAAGTACTCTTATCCTTTATAATCTCAAAGATATACTAACCTTTTTTTTTTCTTCAAAATCTATACTTTTTTTTTTTTGAGACAGAGTCTCACTCTGTGGCCCAGGCTGAAGTGCAGTGGTGTGATCTCGGCTCACTGCAACCTCTACCTCCCAGGTTCAAGCAATTATCCTGCCTCAGCCTTCCAAGTAGCTGGGATTACAGGCATGCGCCACCATGCCTGGCTAGTTTTTGTATTTTTACTAGTTTCACCATGTAGGCCAGGCTGGTCTCAAACTCCTGACCTTAAGTGATCCGCCCACCTTGGCCTCCCAAAGTCCTGGGATTACAGGCGTGAGCCACCGCGCCTGTCCAGGAGTCTCTTATTTAAGGGTGAAATAATAAACCCATTTTCCCACAAGCGTAAGCTGTGTTCTCTAACCCAGCTTCTATCAGTAAAAAGCTAAGTAATAAAGTTGACATTTTTATCTCCAACAGTTTGTGTCCTGTCTCTCAAAATTTGACAGCTGCATGGGGAAGGAAAGGATTTTACTATCTACTGCAGCTAAACTGTGCAAGTTACAATATAATATGTAAAAACATATTCTACTCACAAGTTTGGACTCGATCCTGCAGAGGAGCCAAAAAAATCTTAGGTATAGAACTAACACAATTAAACCTGTCTCTTAGGAAGACAGCTCTTGCAGCATGGGACTGGAGAGAGAGAAACTGGAGGCAGGTGATTAGGAAAGGGCTGTTGTAATAGCCAAGGGAAAGATGATTGAGCCTGAACTAGGGGTATAGTCACAGAGAGAAATGGACGGGTATGATCTATGGAAGAATTTGTAAGAATGAATTTACAATGAAGAAAATTGGCTTGAAGTAAGGAATAGATAACTTCAAAGTTTCTAGTTTTTGCCAGGGCAAAAATGATGACATCATTAATTAAATAACCAACCCAGGGAATTCAGAAGGAACAGCAAATTTAAGTTAGGGGCAGGAGGGGGGTATAGGTTTGCAGGTATATTTTAGATATGAGGTGTTTGAAGCCCTGTAAGACACTCAAAGAGAGAAGTTCAATAGAAATGCATGCCTCCAACTCTAGGGATCGGTCCGGCCTAGAGATATATACAAGAGGGAGAAAATGAGTCTGTCCAGGAATAATATGGAGAACGAGAAGAGCAGACAGCTGAGAGGGCAAAACTCCAAGGGGAGCAGTACAGAAGGTAAATAAAAAGAATGGAATCAAGCAGGGAATGAGGGAGTTGGAACCTCACACCAAACGACACAAGTCACAAAAGTACTGGACAGCTTCTATTAAATATGAAAATCCATGTGTCTGCTAAGCCTGCAACTCCAAAATAGCTCTGAAATCCTTTGAGGTACTTACCTTACTGTCAAAAAGTGATAGTGGCTTCACGGTCTTCAGAGAAAACCTCATGACTGCATACAAGATGGAGCACAGGATGGAGTGGTGCTCCACCAGTGGGTAGTGGATGTGCTTCTGTTCAAGGGCCAGTTCCACTATGGAGATGGGTCCTTCCACGGAGAGCCACGCATCCTCAGTATCCAGCACAGGCACCTGTATTTCATCCCTGCTAACATCTGCCTAAGGGTTTTAAGAATGGAGGACTGTGTTTAGTAATGGAAAAATAATAGCTTACAAATATCCTAATGAGTTGATTAGCAGCAAAGTGCAAACTCATATTGCACACTGTCCCAAATTGTAATAAACACGATGTCTAATTTCTAGAAGAATTTAATAAGAAAATATCACTACCTTTTAGGCTTAAGTCAAAATTTAGAAATGAAGGAATGAAAAACAACCTCATTAAAATAGTCATTTATTAAATGCGATGGTTTGCAGGATATTTAATATCTTAGGAGCAGTTCAGAATGAAAATACACCTCTTTTACCTCCATTAAGATCTGAAGAAGATCCAAACAGGAGCCGAGGAAAGATGTCATTGCTGTGTCACTCATTCCCACATCCTGTTTTTAAAAAAGGAACATAATTAGGCCCTGCAGGAAAACTGCTGCAGTTACTATCAGCAAAACAAGAACGAGGATACAATACGCCTGTTCGGCTGACTTTCCACACTGAATAGACGGAAAGAATTTGAAAGTCAAGGCATTAGCATATTTAAGTTCCTTCTTTTATTTACTGTCAACCAATTTTAAAGTCAAGCTTTACAAAGTGGTACAAATACTGACTTTTAAAACAGGTAGTGTTCTTTGTGTACTGTAAAGACACAGTCTCATCAGTTACTATAGATGGTGGCACGTCTGAGCTCACTGTTCAGCTTGCTAAGGCATCTGGTAGCCAAATAATTGTGGTAGACGGAAGATGCACACATGAGAATCTAATCTGAAGAGTTCCAAGAAAACAGCCTGATCTGCTTTCAGAGTGTCTTTTAGAGACCAAACCCAACCCTCTGAGTAAAACTAGAATCCTCAAGCTTGAGAACTAAATAACAGATTCAGGCTGTGAGCAACAGATGACTCTCAATGACTCCTTTAAAGGGCCTGTCCAAGGGACCACTGCATTTGTGTATAATCTCTTTTTTTGAGACGGAGTTTCACTTCTGTTGCCCAGACTGGAGTACAGTGGCACGATCTCGGCTCACTGCAACCTCCACCTCCCGGTTCAAGCAATTATCCTGCCTCAGCCTCCCGAGTAGCTGGGATTACAGGCGTCCACCACCACACCTGGCTAGTTTTTGTATTTTCAGTAGAGATGGGGTTTCACCTTGTTGGTCAGGCTGGTCTCAAACTCCTGACCTCAGGTGATCCACCAGCCTCGCCTTTCCAAAATGCTAGGATTACAGGCATGAGCCACCGCGCCTGGCCGTATACTCTTTTAAAAGCAACAATCTATAATTTCCTCACATCCCCAAAGCAAATAATTCAGTATTTCTGGTATATGCACACGCGCGCGCACGCACACACACACACACACAAAAAAAACTCTAGTCATACAACCATTCTCAACAACACACCAGAAAAAGTCTTCAACAATGGAAGCTAGTACTATTAATTTCTCAGGTCAAATATAAGTCCCGTATCCATGGATTAGAATAGTAGTTAAGACTAATGTTATATTTGTATACTTATGTTATTTTATATATATATATGTCGATCAAATTACTTCATATGAACTTGCTTCAATTTGATGTTGGATGCTTCCATTATAAATGTCGAATCGGAATTACAGCAAAAATATGCAGCAATGGTAGCATGTTATCCTGTTTGCAGTCCAAAGCTGAACACATCTTATAAAAACCTAGTTTAATATGCTATCTAACAATCTGGAAAAGTAAATTAAAATTGGCCATAGTTCATGACCAGTTTCCTTAATGCAGTATTCTCTTTTCATTTTTCTTATCTCCTCCTGATACGTCATCACAATGGTAAAAGGCAAAGTTCACCCCTACAGTTAATAAAGTACTACATAAAGTGTAGAATTAACAACTATAATTCTAGTTATGGGAGATTCACTTACCCTTCGGCATAACCTATCCTTTGGTGATTTTCCAACCTAAAATAAAAAGACAAAATGTTGTAACATTTAATAATTTACAAACAAAGACATCACTATGGCACAAATAATAAAAAGTAACCAAAATTAAAAATTATAAATGCATGTGGCAGCTTCATTAATTAGCTGTTGATTCTACCAACAGGAGATGCAATTAAATTTGTGGTGAAACTTAATCTCACACTGGGTTCAAGAATAATCCTTTTCAAATACAAATTACGTATTTCTGAACTATTAAATAAGTAAAAACTCTAAAAATCTGGCCCTCACTTTGCATAGTCAAATAACTGTGTTGCCTAAAAACCCAGAGCCTAGGCCGGGTGTGGTGGCTCACACCTGTAATCCCAGCACTTGGGAGGCCAAGGTGGACTGATCATCTGAGGTCAGGAGTTTGAGACTAGCCTGGCCAACACGGTGAAACCCCGTCTCTACTAAAAATACAAAAATTAGCTGGGCCTGGTGGAGTGCACCTGTAGTCCTAGCTACTTGGGAGGCTGAGGCAGGGGAATCACTTGAACCCAGGAGGTGGAGGTTGTAGTGAGCCAAGATCGTGCCACTGCACTCCAGCCTGGGCAACAGAGTGAGACTCCATCCCACTCGCACCAAAGAAAAACTGGAAAAAAACCAAACCAAACCAAACAAACAAACAAACAAACAAAAAAAACAACCCAGGGCCTAATTCAGGGCTACTAATTAAGAACACCTAAGAATTCAGCTTGTTGATAAAGACACAATTGTTTGAAATAGAAAGAAAGGAAAAACACTCTACAGCAGATAGGAGTTATATTCCCAGCTCAGAAAAATTGCCTTAAGCAATAAGTACTTACTACGATTCTACTGTATTTCTCTACAGTGTAATAAGTGGGAGGTAAAAGTTCTGCCCTCAGAAATACTACTTGATAAGAGAGGAAACTCACAGGAGACAGTGGAAAAAAACATCGCCTCACTACCACTTGCTGGGATTACTACGACAGCCTCGGAACAACCAAGCTCAGCCAACCCCAACCCCAAGATATTTTGTCCGTTGCCAGAATCATCTTTTTAAACACAAATTTGAATATATAATTCCTCTGCTTAAAACTGCCTCAGGGTCTTCAGTATAAAATAATAGCTACCATCTAGTGAGCCCTTACCACATGTGCCAGACCCTGTGCTAAGCTTACACATACTACTAGAAAATCCAAATCCACAGCCTGCACAGGAAATTCTTCAATCTTAGCTTTTCTTTTCTTCTAATATAGCCTATGTTCCAGCCATACTAAGCTACTTACAGTTCTCTGAATCCAACAAGTTGCCTTGTATCTCCAGGACTGCTGGGATACACTTTCTTCTCACCTACTTTTTACTGGTTCATATATAGCCATCCACCAAAATTTAAGTCAGAAGTCTTCCCCTTGTTTTGCTATTTATTTCCTCCTCTTCTGAGCTCCTATTGTCTGTTTACCTGGTGTTCAAACTGTGAGCTCTTTGAGGGCCAGGACCATAACTTCCATTGGTTCAACCACAGAACCTAGCACAGTCTTGGCACATGAGAGATAACACATTATAATAAAGACTTATCCAATCACAAATTTCCTACTTTCTGGTTTAAGACTATTTTCACCCCAATCAAAGTAGTGAAGATCAAATGTGATTGTGGATGTGAGAATGATGTGAAACTACAAATTGTAACACACACATACATTACATTTTATTGTTATTCTCTCAAAAGACGAGGGGGTAAGAGGTGAAGCTGAACAGGTGAACAACATCATAAAGGCCAAAAGATGCAAGTTCCAAGAAAGAAGTTAAGCAGTCAAGGAAGATGAGCACAGAGGAAAGAAGGGTTAGATTTAACTAGAAAAATGTTAGCAATAACATCAAAGAGAGCAATTTCAAGGGGAGCAGTGGTCTAAAGTTGGGTCTTGGCTGTGGTGCTATTCATGATGCAGGAATGACTGTGACTATACATTTAAAAGAATATGTTATCTTTACAGTGGTAATTCTCTTAGCATCCACTCATCTGATGCCACACTAATCTACATTGTTGAGTGGCCTGTAAAACCTACTAACTAGTGCCCCCTGGCCACTCAGCTGGAGACTAGGCTGGTACTCTCGGCATGCTAGCAGCTTCTGCTCCCACTAGTTGAGTTCCATGCTTACTTGTTATGCTTGTTCCCAAAGCTACTCATGCTGGTTGTACATGTCACTGTAATTATGTAATTTAATTCAATAACTGACGAAATATGAATGAGAAAAAAGGGGCAGCTATTTACATGAATGCTATGTTGAATGCTTTGCAAAGATTTATGGAGGAGAATAACTTCTAGGCCTTTTGGATTTGATACAGAGGGAGCAACTACAAAAATTATAGAAATCTAAAAGTTTGGACTCAGATTACATATCAACTTTAAAAAAATAAGATCTAGCCATGATAGGCAATACATTATGGGTGAGGTTTATGCAAGAAAACCAAAGGAGAATTGCAATCAACTCCATTCAAAGAAAATATCTTGGCCTTATATCAAAGATTGGTAAGTGTAAATTTGTACATTTTAATTTAAAATAAAATGCAAATCCTTGCTTGAATCAACTACCAGTCCTAATCTCTTTAGTTAAGAGGCTTTTATGTTAGTCTCTTTATGAGGATTTAGAGCCCTTCTTCATGTCATTAAAATGCCAGTACCGGGCATTACATTTAACTGAGTATGAGTAAAATCTAATTATCAAATTAAAAAATAGTCTAACAAAGCCTAATGTGAGCAATCTTTCTAATATTAGTCAATTAAGAGAACCAAATAAATAAGAAGTCAATACATGAAACTACCTTACCTTATCCATTAAGTATGTAGCAGCAGAAAATCTTTTAACTAAGAATGTATTCCACATCATCAGTGCAATGCCTAGATAGCAAGCAAAAGTCGTAAATAGAATGCTTATATATTCTCACTTTTATTACACATAACAAATTACTGTCTTTCTTAAGCTTATTAAACTATATGGACTATTTTTGTTCCATTTTTTATATCTTATGTAATATTTATAAAGTTCTTGAAATCTTTAACTTCATTTAAAATCTGATTTAATAAGAATCAGAACTGGGCTGTGTAAGAGTATGTCTAAATTGCCACTAAGCATGAAGAAAAGAGTTACATCATTAGTTATGAGAGAAATACAATGTCACAGTGAGACAGCATTACATAACCACCAAAAAGGCTAAAAACAATGTTTAAATTATAATAACACGTATTAGGATATGGAACCAATGGAACACTCATGCATTACTGCTGGTACAATAACTTAGTAAAACCACAGGGAAAACTGCTGGGAGGTAGCTACTGAAGCTAAACATGTGTCTACTCTATCTCCCAACAATTCTGCTGGGTATATACACTAGAGGAATGAATATAGAACATATATATATGAGATTGCTGGGAACAGTTTTATTCCCAACAGCCAAACACTAGAAACAATTCCAATGTCTGCCAATTGATTTTTTTCATATGTAACTACAAACTAAAGTAATATATAAAAAAGTATTAAAAGCAAAATAATAATAATAATAATAAAACAGTCTGGGCAACATGGTCAGAAACCATCTCTATGAAAAAATGTTTAACAAATTCGGCATGGTGGTGTATGGCTATAGTCCCACTCGGAGGCTGAGGTGATAGGACAGCTTGAGCTCAGGAGTTCAAGGCTATTGTGAGCTATGACTGCGCCACTATACTCCAGCTGGGGTAACAAAGCAAGACCTTGTCACTACTCACTGAGCTGTGGCATTAAAATTAAATTTCTGAAACAGTTGTCAATTAGGCAGTGTAAACATGGCATTTCACATGCTGTTATTACTACCCTTGTAGCTGAGTCTGTCTATGAGTAGGGCCCCTCACAGGCTTTGAGAAGCCAGGAACCTTACTCAGTGGGTAAAGATACAAATAGGTAAAGGCCTGACTTGAAGAAATACTAGTCTGAAGTCAGTAACTTAATTTTATCAGTAAGGATAGAATAATCTAAACATGATATTTTCCAAATCAGTCAAGGTAAATATATATATATATTTTGGATGAAGGTAAGATCTAAGAGATGAATAAGTAATTTTCAAGTTCTCTTCAAGTAAAATGGGACATTTTACAATTTCTGCAACTGGATTTCATATCACCTGCAAGAATGTGATGGAGGTGAAAAATACATAGCTTCTCCAGAATTTATCACAGAGACATAAGTTGATATCTCCTCTTACTCAGCCTAACACCAAGTCTCATCACTTACTAAGGTTACTAACTAGCTTAGTGCTGATATCCTCAATTCCCTTAATGAAACCCATCTATCTATTAAATGGAATCTGTTTATAAGTTCAATATTTTTTCAAGGAGACATCAGTGGTTGCCAAGGTCTGGCAGCTAATGGAGAATATTCACATCCATTATAAGAAGCAAAAGATAGTTGCTACAGTCTAATCTTATTAGGCTTTTGGCTACCAAGATTTTTTATTAAGAATTACAGTCCTGAGAAATCCATCCCTCTTTCCTTCACGATCTGTGAAGGGTGTAATGAAGGCAGCTGTTCTGCCTCTATCATTGATTTCCTCTTTCCTTGGAAGGCTAGATGCAGAACAGCTGTCTTAATTACACCCAGGAATAGTAGTCAGCTTGGGGAACAGAAGTGGTGATTACTACCAGTTGTTTTGCCCTTTTATAAATAGCACTTTTCCAAGTAGTTAAAATGGCCAGTACTATTTATTTTATTTTATTTTTAGAGACAGGGTCTCACTCTGTCACCCAGGCTGGATGCAGTGGTGTGATCACAGCTCACTGCAGCCTTGAACTACTGGGCTCAAGAGACCCTTGCACCTCAGCCAATACACAGTAATATGTTAGGTTGCAGGATAATCAAATAAAAATTTAACAGGTTGTGAATCTTTAAATTCACATCCTGTTAAATCAGGAAGCCTCTTTTAGATCAACTAGTGATGTTTCTAACATCTGTTTACTTACCATTTTGAACATGTGCATTAAAAATGTGCTTCAAGTGTTCTATTGACCTAACAAAAAAACGTGCTTCCTTACATACAGGGAGAAAAAAAAGAGAAAGAAAAAGAGGTATCATTTAATAGGTTTTACCATTATTAATGGAGACTTCTTACATACATTTCTGCATAAAGCTACCTAAGAATGTTGCAATAATAACATGAAATTATTGGGTAAGAAATAACTTTTGATAACTTAAACTGTCCCTCTTCAACTCACATTACCTATTACAGTGATTAATTCCTAGAAGCTCCTTGGTCATATGGGCTAACATCTGGATTCAAATTTGCTGTGGTTTGAATATCATAGCAATATTCTCTCCAATAAATACTTGAATTTCATATAGATGTAAAAACAATAAGCTTACTTTTGTAGATACAATTCATTCATTCATCATTCAACAAATATTTATTGAGTATCTAGTATGCACCAAGCCCTATTTGAAGCATGATGGATTCCATAAAGAACAAAACAGACCCAAAGTCTTGCCTTCATTGAGTTTAAATTCTAGTGAGGAACCTACGTAATAAACATAAGTAAATATATTATATTTAGTATGTTAATGGTAAGTGCCAAAGAGAAAACAATTAAAGCAGGAAGGAAATATGAAATATCAGATGGGATGTTTGAAATTCAACTCTTTCTAATCAAAGAAGTTTACATATTAAAACTCAAATACAGAATGCAACACTGATGAAATCATTCAGATCTCTGCTAAATAATTTTGTAGCTTGTACGTCATCATCAAACATATCATCATTGCCAATACATATTGTGTTGAAATTTCTCCGAAGGTAATATTATTGTTTTGAGCCTTATAAAATTATGTGTGTCATATGGTGGAGCTGAGACTGTGGTTGGATGGGACAAGATGAATATTTAATGGTAAAAACAAACTAGTAAAACAACAACTTCTTTTAAATGTAAGCAACACTAATGATACTGATAACACTAGTCAAAATGTTAGGCACTATGCATTCATTTTCTCAAAATATGCAATAACCTTTTGAGAGAACTACTATTACAGCCTTCATTTTAGGAGAACGTTGAAACAAAGAGCTCAGAAACTGTGTGCTCTGATGATTAGAAGCTCTATGCAGCACCTATGGGGCTTGACATCAGCTTTGTCTATGCCCCCTCTGCAAGCCGCTTTTGGTTTATAAACAAATACTACAAAGCAGAATTTTCTTCTTAAATGCCACTTTTTTAGACTTGAATTTGAAATTAATTCATTCAGATTTTAGAAATTATTATGTTCTCATCCTAGACATAACATTCCTTTTTAATAAAATGGAAAAGTAACACAGTTAAGTAGAGAGCCTACATATGATCGCCATTCAGGTTGTAGTCAACTGATGAGGGTGATTTGAAGGGCATTAAGAGGCTCCTCTGTCCTAAAATCATTTTTTGGTCAAGGTTTAATTGATCAAAGACTATTCCTTTATTTAAATCACTTACTTTCATAATGTCTTCCTTTAATATATGTGATTACAGTTTTTTGGAGGAAGGAAGAGTATCGTTTCCATTAATCTATTAGCATGAATTAGTTCATCTGTGAGAGTTCTCTACAATAGTACAACCTCACATAAGGACGATAAAGGTAAGAATTTTGATTTGAGAGGAATAATTTACCGGGGCACTGACTAGGGAAGTCTAAGTGAAGGACTGATTGGCAAAGAGGAATATTTACAATATGTTTTTAGATCTTATTTGATCATGGCACCTTCATTTTAAAAAGGAGGGAGAAGGAGGTAGAAAATAACAGGCCAGAGATTCAGTGGCTGTCTTGAGCCAGAAGCTTATCAGCAATTCAGCTGGGATCCAAATCTCTGCCTTCTGCCTCCAGGCTTGGGGCCTCCCCCGATGCTGCTTCTAGACTGTGAATGCCCTGGTAGAAACAGTGGCTACCAAAAGCAATAGAAAATGACGCCTGAGCAGAGAGCTGAGAGCGCAGCAAAGCTAACCTTGGACTACAGTCAACCCTGGGCACAATCTGCCTCTTCGTTCTTCTGAGGCAAACAGAAGTAACAGACAAATACATATTTGAACAATCAGACACTAGGTTAATCTCAGGACCTTCACTCTTGACTTTTATCATGATGACTATAATATTAATAATATTCTGTTAGGTTGATGCCATTTCATGCAGGAATTCAGAAGGCAATAAATAATATACTTGTCACAACCTAACTAGAGAGTAAGGCAAAGGACACTGGTTTTAGGTAAAGAGAACCCTACGCTTATATCCTGACACTTACTTAGCTGTGTGTCTGCAGGGAAGAAACTTAACTTCTCTGAGCCCTAGTATTTTCTTCTTTAGAGCGGGGATCATGACAGTATCTATACTTCACAGGTTTACTGGGAGGATTATAAGAGGAAATATGTGGAAAAGGTCTACTCTAGTTAGCACAGAGGCATTACAATGGGGAAAAAGCCAGTGTTTATCATAAGCTATTTAATTAGACAGTCCCCACATATGAATAGCATGAACACAGAAGCAGGAATAACATGAAAGAGGCAACGAGAATCTCACCTCTGGATCTTTATTCCACTGAACAACATACTCCCAGCAGCAATGTGCGTGCAACACATCGAGCTCAAGGCTACAAGGAAATTGCTCATAGGCTAAATGCAGTAAGTCTGGAAGTCAGAAGAAAGCAGTGATGTTATTTTTTTCCTTAATGAACACTCAGCCACATCTTTCCTCTCTGGATTTCATGTTTCTCATTATTGGTGTATCACCTGGTATGGCTCCTAAGTCCATCTCCACCTCTGATACCTCAAGGAAACCTCTGTTAACACCTTCTTTGGGTTCATCTGGGTTTTCTGCATCTCTTTCTTCATTAGCCAGTTTTAATACTTCAGGGTTGAAGTCCTGTTTAAATATCCACTTGGCTACACTGTCTGCAATGCCACCTATAGTTTGGAGACAAGGAAGAAAATAAAAATTTACAACACACACGGCAGTGTTTGCCAATGGGAGCCAATTTCCTTACAAAGAGATCTAAGTGACACATTTATTTCTGAGCCTGAAGGTGACCCGAAAAAGCCCTGAGATTTACAGCAGTGTTCCTACCTACCACGCAACTTGTGAGGGCAGCAAGCGGGATATTTACGATGTCAGGGCATCCTTATACTCTCAGAAAATGTTAGATAAATATAAATGCACAAGCATATGTCTGTATACCATTTGCTATCTATGTTCAAAAATTTAAAATATACTTTACCAGAGACAAAAAAATTAATATATCCTTAAAACACTTTTACTTCAATTATAAGTGAAAATAGATTGGTTAGTATGACACTTTTCTAGGCTCCTAAGACCAATATAATATTACTTTTTTTTTTTTTTTTTTTTTTGAGATGGAGTCATGCTTTGTTGCCTAGGCTATAGTGTAGTGATGCGATCTCGGCTCACTGCAACCTCCACTTCCCAGGTTCAACTGTTTCTCCTGCCTCAGCCTCCCAAGCAGCTGGGATTACAGGTACATGCCACCACGCCCAGGTAATTTTTTTGTATTTTTAGTAGAGATGGGGTTTCGCCATGTTGGCCTGGCTGGTCTCGAGCTTCTGACCTCAGGTTACCCGCCTGCCTCGGACTCCCAAAGTGCTAGGATTACAGGCATGAGCCACCACATCCGATAAATATTACTTTTTTTTTTTTTTGGAGACAGAGTTTCGCTCTTGTTGTCCAGGCTGGGGTGTAATGGTGCAATCTCAGCTCACTGCATCCTCCACCTCCCAGGTACAAGGGATTCTCCTGTCTCGGCCTCCCAAGTAGCTTGGATTACAGGCATGCGCCACCATACCTGGCTAAATTTTTTGTATTTAGTAGAGACAGGGTTTCACCATGTTAGTCAAGTTGGTCATGAACTCTTGACATCAGGTGATCCACCTGCCTCAGCCTCCCAAAGTGATGGGATTACAGGCATGTGCCACCATGCCCAGCCCTATTACTTTTAATAATCAACTAATTTGCCTATATGCAATATTTATGGGCCTAATTTAGCCATAGCTATCAACAGCATTATACTATATCATGTTTCAGTCATCAATATAGTACAAAAAATTGTAAATACATGCTGAAAAATGTTCCAGATGTTTAAAGAGCACCATTTATTATCGAAAACAAATTATACTTCTATTGTTTACCAAAACTTTCTCAGTCTTTCCTCATCTTTTGATTCAAATAAAAACCTTTCCACAAAAAGAATGCCTCACAGTAAATTCACAATTGTCAGTGAAAATAAATGCGAGCAATGTGCTGGGTGATCTAATTTCTTACGTTTGGCTTCTAAATCATTGGAAAATTCTCATTCCAGAATTAAGCCCCTGATTCCGTTGCTTAGGTTAATATTCAAATGGCATCCTTACCCTTTCACTAGGTGGCAACATGAAGTGTGGTGAGTTTGCAATAAAAAAATGGTCACGAGTTTTATAAAGAATGAGAAAACAAGTAAACTAAAAATCTATAAATATGTGGGTATTTATAAACCTCACATACAGTCCTTCCAGTATCAAATGCCTAAAAGAGCTGCTGATACAAGTGTGAGCCCCCAAAGACAACTAAAAATGTAAGACGTTTATGTTCCTGCAAGATATCAGCACAGGAACCCAAATGACTCCAGGACAGCAGAAAGTGATGCTTCACAACAGAGGAATAACATTCTGTGGATATTAGGAGGAAGAAGAGAAAATCTGCAGTTGGTGAATCGTGAAAGGTTTCCTGGAGGAGAAGCATTTGAGCTGGACCTTGAAAGATGAGTAAGATTTTGATATCCATGAGTGAGAGAGGCAGGGAAAGGGAAGAGGATAGGCCCAGATCTAAGACAGGAAGCACATGGATGCTTCATTTTAACTCAAATCTTGGAAGCAAATAAGAAACAGAAAAATCAGTTGGATTCAAAGTCAAAAGTTATTGGAGAGCAAGTTTAAGAGTTTATGCTTTGTTCAAGCAATTCTTGAACTTACTATCTCATGATCCCCTTAAAATTACTGGCAATCCCAAAGAACTTTGGTTTATGAGTTACAGCTGTCAGTCTTTATGGTACTAAAAATTAAAACTGATAAATAAAAAATATTTTATTAGTCCATTTTGAAATGAAAATAATAAACTGATTACATGCTAATATTTTATGAAAATAATTGCATTTGACCAGCAATCCCATTACTAGGTATATACCCAAAGGATTATAAATCATTCTACTATAAAGACACATGTACACATATGTTTATTGCAACATTATTCACAATAGCAAAGACTTGGAACCAACCCCAATGTCTATCAATGATAGACTGGATAAAGAAAATGTGGCACACACATGCCATGGAATACTATGCAACCACAAAAAAGGATGAGTTCATGTCCTTTGCAGGGACATGGATGAAGCTGGAAACTATCATTCTCAGCAAACTAACATAGGAACAGGAAACCAAACACTGCATGTTCTCACTCATATGTGGGAGTGGAACAATGAGAACACACGGACACAGGGAGGGGAACATCACACACCAGGGCCTGTGGTGGGGTGGGAGGCTAGGGAAGGGACAGCATTAGGAGAAATACCTAATGTAGATGACAGGTTGATGGGTGCAGCAAACCACCATGGCACATGTATAACTATGTAAGAAACCTGCATGTTCTGCACATGTATCCCAGAACTTAAAGTATAATAAATAAATAAATAAATAAACAAATAAACAAATAAAATCTGGCCTCATACAGACATGTAAGTGAAAAAAGGAGGACTCCTGAGGTCCTCTGACCACTCTTTGAGAATCATTGCCAATTTTCTTAGGCAGAGGGAAGCACCTAGCAGTTTCTGAGCATGGAACTGACCAAATGAGACTTTAGAGAAAATTAATTTAGAGGAAGTATACAGAAGGTTATTGTTATTTTTTTAAATCTGAGTGTATTTTTCTTTCTCTATTCTTTCCGTCATTTCTATTACAAGAAACCCTGGTAACATAACAATAAGGATGTAAATGCTCAAATAAACTTCAGCTTACCTTTTCCTCCTTCTAATAACTTTTTAACAGAAAGCCTTGGAAGTGGCTCAGCCTGCAGTGATGACACTTTGGAGGTCTGAGTGTTCCCTTTGCTGTGAAGCAGAGTCTGAAGTATGAGACAATCCTCCAGCTGTTTCAGAAGGAGTTTCCAGTACTCAGTGTCAAGAGAAAGTGCCTCCCAGGAATCAGTGAGGGCCTCTGAATCAGCACCCAAAACTGTTTGGGAAAACTAATAAAAAATGCACTGGTGATTCTCTGCCAAAGATTCTGAATCAATATTAACTTGAATGAGCTTTTAACTTGAAAGCTGATGGATACTGAGGATACATCACAAAGCAACACATAAATGCTATTTCCCAAATATTACTACTTGGCTGGATGAAACATGAGGGTCAGGAGTAGACTGGAGACTCATGGGCAAGGATGGTGAGTTCAGATATTTGTAAGGAGTCCTGCACTAATGGCCCTGATTCAACCAGTGTACATTTCAGAGTTTTCTGGGCCATCTTTGGCAAAGGTCACAGTTTTGTCTAGCACTACCATCAAAAAACTTATATCTCTTCAGAATGCACTCTTCAACCTAAAAAAAAAATCTGAAATTTCATCTCTCTCCATCATAATGAACATTGCAAGCAGGCAATATTAAATTTAGCCTATAAACAACAGTGACTTGTGAATCTCCACAGACCTATTTGGTGTCTCATTCAAATTAACGTAACACCCCCTGGGAAAAATTATTTGATCTACCATGAGCTGTAAAGGAAATGTGAGTCCTCAAGAGATGAGAAAAAAACACAGTAGGATACTGTCATGTGGCAACTGCTAAATTCAAGTATTCGTGGCGTCATTCTGAATAAACAAATTAAGGGGAGCACCTCTCATCCCTCTCCCCGCTCCAAAAAACCCCCCTAAAAAACCCAGAAAAGGAAAGCATCCCCTTAGCCTACCGGATGTGTACAGATCAAAACCATACCTTTACCCACTTACTTTTTTCTCTGTCATGTTGTTTGATATCTGCGCAGCAACAGAATGCCCAACATGTGCAGACAACAGAGCAGCTCCATTGTTCTCAGACTGAATACAGGCTGTGCGCATCTGCTGCCACCACGGGGACACAGACTGAGAATCCCAGGTCTCATCGATGGCCACTATAGGGATAGGAGAAAACTGAAAAATAAACTCTTACCCTGTCAATTTTTTGGGACTAACCATTTATGTTAAACATAATGTTAAAACTAAGTTCCCTACTGATATATTTTTATATTTCTCAGTGAAGTGGAAGTCTAACAATCTATTTTATTCAGAACATTTCTATTCCATTTATTTATGCTCTTTTAGTCATCTTTGTTCTCAATCAATATTAAATCCTTATTTGGAATATTTCATCATTATTGAAAACTACTGAATATTTTAATAGATTAATATTCTGATAATCATACAAAAAATAACAAGAAAAACATTACCTCCCCTAAGACCATTCCATTTGCCTTACTGAGTTAACATGTAGGTTCAAATCATGTTTTTTTATGATGATACAAAATATAAAATTTCATAAATTAAAGCATAAGTCAAATGCATTAAAAGTATTCTATTAATACATAAAAGAATCTCTATGGTGAAATGTTTTGTACACTATAGACTCCTTCTGTTAAGGGATCCTATCTACTCTCCCATCTTTTTTGTGACATTTCAAACACGAAACTTTGTTTACAGGAGCAACAGACTTTGTTTACCTTTCATCTTGCTCAGGAGGGACAGCATGGTATGAAGACAGCAGACTGACTGTGGTTTATCCAAAATATCCTTTTCCTTCGAAAGCCAAACACTCAGGAGCAGAGACTGAAATCAAATTTAAATCTTTTTCAGTCTAAAAAAAAAATTTAACATAGAAAAATCTTACACTTTCCTAGACAGCAGATGCATGCATATGGATGATGCAGCTTCTTGAGGTGAAAAAATACGCAGTTGCTTGCTGTATCATGTAATGTGAGAGGGAGAATGAGGTCCCTTTTCTACCTAGGAGATTCTCTATAACCTGTTGTATATTTAAACTTCACTGTTTCCAACTCTTCTTTGGGTTAAGCATTGCCTTCCAATCCAAATCTCTATTAAGGAGCACATTACCAGATAGTAGTTACTACTACGTGAGCATAGATTTGGTGTCGATTAACGAGGTATCACTTGGCTGTAGGTTTTGACAGGAGAGAGGTAGGATCTGGAGCTGTGGATATTAGCCTTGCCTTGGCCATACAAAGGTATTGCAGACGTGGCAGTGAGAAGCAATATATAAAAGTATCAAACTCCAATTTTTAAATCACCAGTAAGTTATGAAAAAACAGACTTTAAACAAAAAACTTAAGTCAACATAAGTGACTTTTTAAAATGACTGTAAACCAGCATAGCATACCTACTTGAAGCTGAAATATTTTTAAGATTTATAAAATTGGTTCACAGACAATTCTGGGATAATGAAGTTTAATGAAATAGTGTTACATCTGTTAGTACTGGTATCTCTGAAAGGCCTTGATTAATTATAATACTGCAATACTTTTATGTGAAAATAGCTCTAAATTAAAAGACTGTTAGTTTAAACGAATTATTTCAAATAGCTTTCAAAAATTAAGGAGGGTAAAGAGTTGAAGGAGAAGAAGCTCATGAAGGAAGCGAATTTATGAGGACAACTCAGGGCCAGGAGCTGTGATAAGTACGTGACATGCACATCACCTCATTTTATCCTAACAACTTCTGTGGCAGGGATGATGATCCAGATTTCAGAAATGATGAAATAAGCTCATATGGGAAAATTAACTTGTCCAGCACTACAGTTAATGAGTTAGAACTAAAATTGACACGCCTGTAATCCTTGCACTTTGGGAGGCCGAGGCAGCAGATCATGAGGTCAGGAGATCGAGACCATCCTGGCTAACATGGTGAAACCCCATCTCTACTAAAAATACAAAAAATTAGCTGGGCGTGGTGGCAGGTGCCTGTAGTCCCAGCTACTTGGGAGGCTAAGGCAGGAGATCACCTGAACCCAGGAGGCAGAGGTTGCAGTGAGATGAGATTGCGCCACTGCACTCCAGTCTTTCTTTTCAAAAAGAAAAAAAGAAAAGAACTAAAATTGGATCCATGTTTATCAGATCTAAGTTAAATTAAAAAAAAAAAAAAAAAGAACTAAAATTTGAAAATAAACCTGCTTGATGCTATTAGTAACATGCATATTTTCTTTTCTCCCCCTTTAAAAATGTTCACGTGTATGAGGATATATACATGTATATATAAATTTATACATACACTTAATTTTTACACATATGAAACCACACATATATATACACACACACACTCTTTAATGCCTTCTATTTTTTTTCCTTTTTGGTCTAATTTCCCTTCCAAGGGCCTCTTCATACCAGCTCCCTTTTAACCTCATCCCATACAGACAACCTTTAAAAAACTTTTTGTGGGTACATAGTAGGTAGGTGTATATTTGTATGGGGTACATGATATGTTTTGATACAAGTAATGCAACATGAAATAAGCATATCATGAACAATGGGGTATCCATCCCCTCAAGCATTTACCCACTGAGTTGCACACAATTCAATTACATTCTTTAAGCTATTTTAAGATGTACAGTTATTACTGTCTACAGTCACCCTGTTGTGCTATCAAATAGGTCTTACTCATTCTATTTTTTGTACCCATTAGAAACCTTTTCTAAAAAACAAATATATCTTCCATGCTCATAAATAATGACAATGTTAACAATAAATGCTAATGGCTATATAAAGATTACTATGCTCCAAGCCATTAACAGCTTTATATGTATGGATACATACAGAGTATGTTCGAGGGAGGATAACGGGGATTTACTGTCACAACAATGGGATCATATTACACCATGTTCCTTCCACTTGCAACCCAATATCCTGTTTAACCAACAAAATTCGGCATGACCTTAGTTTATTTATCGGGGGAATCTCCTCTCTGCTAGACTTTCCCTTAACCTCCATAACCTGATGCTTTTCACCACTAGGTAGGCTAAAAAAATGGTTGCCTATACAGTTAACAAAGACACTATATACTCAATCAAAAATAACCCTGTCTCGCTGTTTTATGTGCATGTATACTGGGAAGCAGATGGAAAAGAAACGTGGGGGGAGGGCAGAATTTATTTTACATTTTAGGCTCACCATTAAGTTGCCACTAGATTCACTCTGATAAATTTTACGTACAAAATGTATGACCTGGGTCTATTATTAAAGTGCATCAGATTTCTTTTCTTTTCTTTTTTCTTTTTTTTTTTTTTTTTTTTGAGATGGAGTCTCCCTCTGTGATCCAGGCTGGAGTGCAGTGGCACGATCTTGGCTCACGACAACCTCCGCCTCCCAGATTCAAGTGGTTCTCCTGCCTCAGCCTTCCGAGTAGCTTGGATTACAGGCACGAGCCAACATGCCCAGCTAATTTTTGTATTTTTAGTAGAGAAGGGTTTCACTATGTTGGCCAGGCTGGTCTAGAACTCCTGACCTGATTTGCCCACCTTGGCCTCCCAAAGTGCTGGAATTACAGGCGTGAGCCACCGCGCCCGGCCAGTATACCAGATTTCTAAACATACCTATAGATTTAATGCCTCTTAAAGCTTTGTTCATTTCCCCATCAACAACAAAGTTTCAAAATGCTCATCAAAATTGGCAGCCAGAAGGTTATTTTAGATTAAGGCAGCCAAAAAAACTAAATGCCATGCCTTGGACTTCTCTTCACACTACGAATTCTGCTTTTCTCTCCAACCAACCTCTTCTCTACCCACCATCACTTGTAATAAAATTCTGAAACAAACAAAAAACCTGTTCTGCTTAACTTTCCTTCTTATTTCTTCCTAGGTTACCTCCTTCTATTTCTCACCCTCCAGGTAATCTCTGTTTATCACCTAGAGTGTGTTTTTCCTGTTTTCTATAAACATTAAACATTCCAAACAGTCAAGCTTTTGTTTGTATATAGGATATCAGTATAAAATAGAGGATGCCAAAGGAACTATCAGAATATAATGATACAATTTTAGAATCACTTATAAGCAATATAAAGATATTTTAAACTGCAGGAAACATTAAGATGAAAGAAGAAAAATAAAGAAGTGAATACAGAGATAAATTAAGTTACCACATAGAAACACATATATGGACACATAAAACAGGAGAAGACAGTCTAGTGTATAAAGGTAACTAGTTCCATAATTAGTAAATGCAAAATAAGATATTCCAACAGTCACAACAAAGAACGCCACATTACATTATTCATAATATGATATTTATGAATTCACATATTAAAATGTTACCATTATCTCATACATAAAAATGTTGTATATTGACATATAACCAGATGATGTCTAAATGATAGATTTTGAGTAACAGAAACCTTGAGGCCACCAAGATGGCAGAATAGAAGGTAACCTACTTACATTCTCTCACAATAAGGTGGTTGATTTGTCCCCCTGAACTGACTTCCAGACTGAAGCCCAGAAACAGCCCAATCCCCACAAGGGGCTTGGCTACTTCCCTGTTTGCCCATGATCCTGCCACCAAAACCATTTGCCATGGGGTCCAAAAGGAACTGCTCACACTAGTGTTTTGGCAGAAAGGCTAGTCTGCCCCTAGCACTGGTCTCAGCAGTGGGCTGGAAAGTAGCCTTGCGGTGCTGCCCTCAACTTCCTTAGCTGAGGTCCCAGCTCAGAGTTGCTTGCATAAGGACCCAGAGGGAGACTCACCCATATCTCTCAGCCCAGGACTCAGAGCCTCCCTGACAGGCTCAACAGCCTCTGTCTCAGCAGATCCCCCTCAGGGCCCCCTCACTGCAGCTGGAGAACTATCCTATCTGCACAGGAACTTGCTGAAGACACATGCCTCTCTGAGCCAACATGAGACACTTCAGCCTCCATTCCCACAGCTGATCCCGAAAGGGCCCAGTCTCAGCTCAAGCCCCTCCTGTTGCACTTGAGGAATTATCTCACTTGTGCAGGAACCTGCTGGGCAACACATAACCATCTGGGCCAACAAAACAGGCCTGCCAACTTCCTTTTCACACATCCTAAAGAGGTCCAGTCTCACTTCTACTCCCTCTCACTGCAGCTGGAGACCCATCCACCTGTGCAGAGACCTGCTGGGAGGCACACCTGTCTGGGCCACCAGGACAGTCTTCTGGACCCAGGTCCCTGGCCAGCATTCCCACATAGCCTCAGCACCCTCCTTAGGTCTTTCCCCAGTTCATGAAGGCTGGAAAGCCACATAAACCTCAGAGCTCTTGAGAGACCTGCAGCAAGCCTGGGCTTAGAGTGTTGTCTAGTGCTGCAAGGGTCACAAGCTCAGGGAACAAAATAGTCAGCTTAGAATCCCTGGAAGGCCCTCTGAGGAAGGTCAAGTACAAACAAAGCTAGACTGTGAAGACTAAAGTAGATACCTAATATATCAATGTACAATACCATTGTACTTCCACAAGCATCAAGAACATTCAGGGAAACATGACCTCACCAAATGGACAAAGTAAGGCACCAGAGACAGAACCTAAAGTGAGGGAGATGCGTGATCTCCCAGACAAAGAATTCAAAATAGCTGTTTAAGGAAGCTCAACAAATTTTAAGAAAACACACACAATCTATTCAAAAATTTATCAGAGAAATTTTTAAAAGACTGAAATACGAATGAAAAAAATCAAATAGAAACGTTGGAGCTGAAAAATAAATAAAATGAAAAATGCAATAGAGAACATCAATAGCAGAATTGATCAAACAGAAGAAAGAATCAGTGAATTCGTTGATAGACTATTTGAAAATACATAGCCAGAGGAGAAGAAATGAAATGAACAAAAAGGAATGAACAAGACCTATAGGATCTATAAAACAACCTCAAAAGAGCAAATATTGGGGTTATTGGAGTTAAAGAGAGAACTGAGAAAGACAAAGGAGTAGAACGTTTACTCAAATAATAACAGAAAAGTTTCCAAACCAGAATATACAGGTACAGGAAGGTCAAGGGTCACCAATCTGAGTTAACTCAAACAAGAACACTCTAATTTACAACCTCATAAAGGTCAAAGACAGAGAGAATTTAGAAAACAGCAAGAGAACAGAAGCAAATAATGTATAAGACAGATCCAATATCCTTGGTAGCAGATTTCTCAACAGAAACCTCACAGGCCAAGAGGGAGTGGGACAATATGTTCAGAATGTTGAAGGAAAAAAACTGCCACCTAAAAATACTGTATGTGGCACAGTTATTCTTCAAAAATGAAAAAGGGAAATAAAAGATTTCCCGAGACAAACGAAAGCTAAGGGAATGTATTGCTATCAGACCTATCCTGTAAGAAATGTGTGATTTCTTAGACACTAAAGGGAGTTCTCCAAACTGAAAGAAAATTATGCTAATGTGGTTGCTGTACTAATATTGTAATTGTGGTGTTTAAACCACGTATATCTTTAGTAAGAAGACTAAAAGAAAAACTATCAAAAAAAGGACAATTTGTTAAGAGACAACATAAATAACATAAAATGATGACATCAAAAATGCTAAAATGAGGGGAGAAAGGAGTTAATATGTATAGGTTTTCTTTTTATGGTTTGTTGGTTTTGCTGTTTTGCAATCAAAGTTAAGTTGGTATCAAATTCTTGTTGTAACTAGATTTTTTTTGGTAAGCCTCATGGTAATCACAGTGCAAAGCCTACAATAGATACACTAAAATCAAAAGCAATGAATTGAAACATACAATAAGAGGAAATCACTTAACCATAAAAGACAGAAAAAAGAGAGGAGTTACACAGCAACTAATAAACAAGTAACAAAATGGCAGTAGTAAGATCTTACCAATCAATAACAACACTGAATGTGTGGTCTGAATTCTCCAATTAAAAGACACAGAGTGAGCTGGGCACAGTGGTATGCACCTATAGTCCTGGCTGACTGGAAGGCTGAGATGAGAGAATAGCTTAGGCCCAGGAAAATAATAATTTAAAAAAGATACAGAGGGACTGAATGGATTAAAAAACAACATACAAATGTATACCGCATACAAGAAGCTCACTTTACCTATAAAGCCAAACATAGACTGAAAGTGAAGGAATGGAAAAAGATATTCCATAAAAATTAAAACGAAAAAAGAGCAGGAGACGCTGCACATATATCAGATAGAATACATTTTAAGTTGAAAACTATAAAAAGAGACGAAGGGGAGGCTGAGGCAAGATAATAACTTGAACCTGGGAGGTAGATGTTGCAGTGAGCTGAGATCATGACACTACACTCCCACCTGGGCAACAGTGAGACTCTGTCTCAAAAAAAAAAAAAAAAAAAAAAAAAAGAGACAAAGATGGTAATTATACAGTGATAAAAGAGTCAAGAGTCAAATCAGCCAGATCTAACAACAGTAAGTACATATGCACCCAACAATGGAGCACTCAAATATATAAAGCAAATATTAATAGATCTAAAGGGAGAGACAGACTTCAATACAGTAATAACAGAGGTCTTTGACCTCACTTTCAGGAATGGACAGATCTTCCTAGTCCATTCCAGTCCAGGAATGGACAGATCTTCAACAAAGAAAGATCAGAGTTAAACTACATACTAGACCATATAGACCTAATAGACGTTTATAGAACATTTCGTTTGCTGCTGCAGAATACACATTCTTTTCATCAGCACATAAAACATTCTCCAGGACAGACCATATGTTAGCCACAAAACAATTCTCAACAAATTTTAAAAAGTCAAAATCATATGAAGTATTTATCTGACAACAGAATAAAACTAGAAATCAGTAACAAGAGGGACTTTGGAAACTACACAAATACAGATATTAAACAACATGCTCCTGAACAGTCAATGAGGCAAGGAAGCAACTAAAAATAAAATTTAAAAATTTCTTGAAAAAAATAAAAATGGGATGCAGCAAAAGGAGTGCTAAGAGGGAAGGTGGTCAGGTGTGGTGGCTCACGCCTGTAATCCCAGCACTTTGGGAGGCCGAGGCAGGCAGATCACAAGGTCAAGAGATTGAGACCATCCTGGCCAACACTGTGAAACCCTATCTCTACTAAAAATACAAAAATTAGCTAGGCGTGGTGGCGCATGCCTGTAGTCCCAGCTACTCAGGAGGCTGAGGTAGGAGAATTGCTTGAACCCAGGAGGCAGAAGTTGCAGTGAGCCAAGATCACATCACTGCACTCTAGCCTGGTGACAGAGCGAGCCTGGTGACAGAGTCTCAAAAAAAAAAAAAAAAAAAAAGGGGAAGTCTATAGACAATAAACACCTCAACAAAAGACTCCAAATAAACAATCTAACAAGGCACCTCAAGAAACTAGAAAAGAACTGACCTAAAAATTAGTAAAAGAAGTAAAAAGATCAAGCAGAAATAAATGAAATTGAGACTAAAAAAGTTACAAAAGATCAACAAAAAAGCTTTTTATTAAAAAAGATGAACAAAATCAATAAACCTTTAGTTAGACTAAGAAAAAAAGAGAAAAGACTCAAATAAATAAAATCAGAGACAAAAAAGAAAACATTACAATTGATACCACAGAAACACATCATTAGAAACACAGATCATTAGAGACTATTATGAACAGCTTTACAGAAAACCTCAACAAACCAGTAATAAGTAATGAGATGGAAGCAGTCATAAAAATCTCCCATCACAGAAAAGCCCAGATCTAATGAATTTCCTGCTGAATTCTTTCAAACATTCAAAGAAGAACTAGTATCAATTATACTCAAACTATTTCACAACACTGAAGAGGAGGGAATACTTCCAAACTCATTCTATGAGGCCAGCATTACCCAGATACCAAAATCAGACACATACAAAATAAAAACAACACATTAAACCATCAACAAGCTCACAGAGGTAGGATGCCCAAATCCTGGTAAAAATATAACATGTGAATGGGGGTGTGTGAAAGAGTATGCAGTTGGCCCTCTGTATCCATGCATTCCACATCTGTGGATTTAATCAACTGTGAGTCAAAAATATTCAGAAAAAAAAAGATGGACAGTTCCATCTATACTGAACACATACAGACTTTTTCTTGTCATTATTCCCTCAGTAGGTTTAACAATAATTTACACAATAATTTAACAATAATTTACAATGCATTTACACTGCATAAGGTATTAAAAGTTATCTAGATATGATTTAAGGTATACGGGAGATGTGCATAGGTTACATGCAATTACCACTTTTTTGTTTTTTTAGAGACACGGTCTCACTCTGTCACCTAGGCTGGAGTGCAGAGGTGCAATCAGCACATCCTTGACCTCCCTGATTCAAGGGATCCTCATGCCTCAGCCTCTTGAGTAGCTGGGAATACAGGGACATGCCACCATGCTTGGCTAATTTTTTATTACACCATTTTATATCAGGACCTTCTGTATCCATGGATTTTGGTATTGGAGGGGGAGGTTCCTGGAACCAATCTTTCATGGGTGCTGAGGGACAGCTGTGTATGCATTCATGTGTAGGGATAGGTAAGAACAAAGAAGAACAAGGAAGATGGGGTAACTTTCCTTGATTTTTTCAGAAAGGGCAAAAATCTAGTGTTGTATCTTCTCCTTGGATGATTCTTTTGTTTTATATTTGTTATAATTGAGATTACATTATAATATATATTCAAAGTTTAAAACGTTTGATAACAATTCCACATTGCTTTAAGGGAAGTTTATTTTGTTTTTAAGATCTTTTCCATCGTAACATGACAGTTTTTTACTGATGATTCAATTCTATTGTAAATGCATGCATATAGATGTGTGCATACAGATTCTAAACTTATCTTAGGCCAACTATAGAATATGCTTGTTAACATTTATAGAAAATTGGCCAGGCACGGTGGTTCTTGTCTGTAATCCAAAAGCTTTGAGTGGTCAAGCAGGGAGGATTGCTTCAGCCAGGAGTTTCAGACAGCCTGGGCAACATAGCGAGACCTCCATCTCTACAAAAGTAAAAAAAAAAAAAATTGGCCAGCACAATGGTATGCGCTCGTAGCCTCAGCTACTCAGAAGGCTGAGATGGAAGGATGGCTTGAGCCCAGGAGGTTGGGGCCGCAGTGAGCTACGATCACACCACTGTACTCCAGCCTGGGGGACAGAGCAAGACACTTTCTCTCTCAAAGTAAACGAAAAAGAAAAAAAATTTACAGGGTATAAGAAAAATAAAATAATATTACTCTATTAAATATGGTGATTAAAAATTTCTTTGATCATTTTTAGAAAGTTTTCATGGACATTCTATGATAACCTAAAAGACAACAGTTAAAAAAAAAAAAAAAGAAGATTGACACTTCTGGGTGACATTCACAAGGAAGAACAGCATCCAGCAACCAAAAACACCTCACCAACAACAGCTGAGGGCTAAGTCCAGCCGACTCCAAAGTGTGACACATATCCTCAGTGGAGCTTTCTCCATGCAAACACTTCCAAAAAAAGAAACTACCTGGTAGAACAAAAACAAAGCACATTAATCAATGACTACTTACCATTTGGACTAACAATCTTATTGAATCACAATCTGGAATTCCAGAGAAACAAAACATGATGAAGGAAGAGAAATTAATGGTTCAATTTGCTTGATTTATTAAAGCAGAAAGCAAATCATGATCTAATATTGTCTCTTTAGTATACTTATTAAAACAACCTATCGACCGGAGTGTCTTTTGTTGGCCAAAAAATACAGTACATTAAATACTTCCATTATTTAAATTTCAAAACAAACAGAATCTCCTGAGATGCTATATGTTCCTACCACGTTTTCTTCTAAAAGAAGAGGGATACAAAGACCAGTGTATTATTTTACCTACCTAAAGCCACATACTCCTCTTCACTTATCTTCTTTACATTGAGCACATCCTTTTCATATTCTAAATATTCCAAGAATGTTTTTACAGGCAACACACCATCTTCATCATCAGAAAATCGAACATTTGTCCTGGTGTTCTCTTGCTTATACTTCTCTAGTAATGCCTGGAGCTTAAGTAGTTCTTTTTCATCAAGCCTTAGTAACACAGCCAAGTCCTTTAAAATAGAAAACAAAAACAACATTCCACATCTATCAACCACATTATCTGAACTGAAATTCAAGATTGTAAGCAAAAGTTGACTTTTTAATTAATATAATAGCTATCATGTATTCTGCTTAAAACTTTGCTTACAAGTCACATTTCATGAGTAGGAGTTTATTTAAATAAACTATAATCTTGAACACTACATACTACTAAAAGTACCATTTTAGCATATTTCTTGAGGGTACTTTATTATCTTCTAGAATGTTAGCATCTTTTTTTTTTTTCGAGACAGGGTCTCACTTTGTTACCCAGGTTAGAGTACCTTGGCATGATCATGGTTCACAGCAGCCTTGACTTCTTGGGTTCAAGCAATCCTCCTGCCTCAGCCACCTGAGTAGCTGGGACCACAAGTGTGCACTACCACATCCAGCTAATTTAAAAAGTTTTTTTTGTAGACACAGGGCCCCACTATGTTGCCCAGCCTGGTCTCGAACTCCTGGGCTCAAGTGATCCTCACACCTCAGCTTCCCAAAGTGTTGGGATTACAGGTGCAAGCCGCTATGCCCTGGCAAATGCTAGAATTTTAATAAACATGTTTTACTGTATAATCAGAAAAAAATTTAAAAGGGTGTCAAATGCAACTCTTACCATTCTGAGGAAACTAAATATTTGAATTTAAATGCTTATTAACCAGCGTAAACACTATAAAATAAAACATAGAAAAACAATTCTCATTGTATCCACATATAAGTCCTGTAGGTGGCTCTCAGGGATACAACCTGTTAGGCTTTCAAACTATTTTTATATACTATATGTACAAAAACATATTGTGGCTGGGCATAGTGGTTTATGCCTATAATCTCAGCACTTGTATAAATAATATAAATTTAGCAGCAAGGCACAGAGAGCTAGCAGGGGGCTTGGTAAACAAAATATACCTTTAAAGCTTTAAAAAAATGCTTAATTTTCTACTTTGTTACTACTGATTTTAAAAGGTAAAAGCAACCAGATAGATTATTTTATATAAATATAAAATGTGGGATTACTCACATTATCAGAGAATGGTGTGTCTAAATGAAAATCAAGGGAATTTAGTTGACTGACCGACTCATAGAGTTGCAGCAATTTTAGTTTATTGGCACAAAACTGTAGCAATCCTTCATCAACCGACTCAAGTTCTAAAAGGCAGAAGGAAAAGTATATATAAGAGATATATTTAACAGACTCATAAACAGGCTTTTCTTTCATTAAATCTCTCAATATTACATAATTCCCTGATGCTCTGATGTATTAAATATTGAGATGCTTAAGCTATATCAGATTTTGAAAGCAAAAATAATTTTTCTGTCATGACAAAATGTCTAATTTTTAAATAAAATAAGATGCTCTAAAAGTAGGGCGATAAAAAAGAAAGTGGAAATATCTTCATGTAATACTTAAAATTTAAAGAAATTATCTGGAATACTGTATGAATATTTATATCTAATATAAAACAAATATTTATTCTTTAAAAAGGGAGACAATGATAATCCCCCTAAAATCTTATTTGAAATACAGTATCGTGGAATATTGTTCAAGTTCTTATAGCCTTAATAAAACTGACCATACAAAATAATTAGATTTTAGGAATCTTATTTTTATGTAGACCTTGAAATTGATGATTTTATAGAACTCCAACAATGGTGTTTGGTTTACTACCAGGTCAGTGAAAGATAACTTTTCATTTAATAAATTTTGAGATTTTGTTAATGCCTTGAGGGGTGGGAGGGCTTTATAAGTATACCATGCTTTTTAAAAGAGGTATTTATTTCCGACAAGTGATGTACACTAAAGGAGTTCACTATTTGCCAATGTCAGTTTCATGTATCTGTTAAAAAAAAGGTTGAAAAAGAGTCTCAAAATTAGCATGTTTGAAGCCCTGAAAGAACAAATTATAATTTGTTTATTAAGCCACTTTAAGCTGGCTTACACATAATTAAAACACAAAGTTGGTTTTACATAATTAACAGGACAAACAAAAGTCACAACTAGATGACACCAGTCCACTGTACACTACAATTTAACTGACGTTAGGAATTCAGAATAAAGTGAATTTTTACTAGTTCAGTTGGATGGAATATGGTGTTACAACCCCACAGTTTCAAGTGTAATCCTTTTTCAGGCAAATATATTTTGATGGGCTGACTGATTTTAAAGAACAATGTGATAGTACAGACAAATTTTGAACATCAAAAAATGACCAGAAAAAATAATCTGATTGTCGTCTGTGATTTTGGAAGTCCTTAACTCTGTTCATGAGGGAAACTGATGGGAAACTGATACACTAATAAAACATTAATACAAAGTACAAATATGTTTTATTATTATCTGGGTCAAAATGACATTATGTGCCCCCCTAGAGAAATCTGTCTCCTCTTGTGAAGCTAAAGAAAAGACAATGGCAGCGAGAGAGCTTGGTTGTTTTCCCATACCACCAGATAACTTCTTCATTCCAATGCTTTCTTTAATGTTCTACAGCTATATCAGAATAACCACTTATCATTCTATCCTGACCCCTTTCCTCACGATTAGAAACAACTTCCCAATAACAAACAGTCAATACATTCAAAGACAGTTTAGATGAAGATCAACTATATATATTAAATAGGGAATAAATAAGATTCTTAATTTCTTATATATATATTATTTCCACATTAAAGTAACATGATGGTATCACAAAGTCAATAGCTTTCTATAATCAGTTACAAAATTTGAGTTAAGAACGTAACCTCCAATCAGTACAAACCCTATTACCTTGATTTTTTAAAGTGTCCATTAAAGTCTGAGTGATGTTTCTAAGGCAAGAAAATGGTAAACGTTCACTTGCCAAAATGCTTTCCAAAGCCTAGAAAAAAGATATTGAACAGTTCTAGTAATTATAAGGCAACGATTTTACTTTTTAAATCTTATATTTATGCCAAACTTTTACTACCCCAAATTTCAAAGAGAAGCTCTATATTTAAGATGTTTTAGTGTACATATCTTAAATCTCAAGTTGCACTGTTAAGTAATATTCAATCAACTTTATGTCATGCCAAATATGATATAAATGACAAAAATCCAGGCTGAGAATAAAACAACTAGAAGGCAACTGCTACTTAACAGAATAGCCCAATCAAAACAGAAACAAAGATAAAGCTATTTACCAATAAGAAGTGTTTGAATATGCTTATGCTATCTAGGAATAAATGAAAAGCAGTGGTTATTGTCATGTCAATAACAAAAGCTGCTAATAACTTAGTTATAGCTTAATAACTGCATTTGTGCATGGCAGGCATAATCTATAGGCCCTGCTAGATAGATATAGTAACCACCTTTCCCTACCTCCCTCTCCCTACCCCCATAGATATTTAAGATTCTTTATAACCAATCCCAAAATATCTCTTCATGCCTAAAGTAGCAACTATCAGAAACATCAATGAGTCAGACATAGCAGTTAAAGGTCATATTTATCCTTTCATATTAGCACATTAAATTGGGTTTCAATTAATGAGATTACATAGTTTAAAAAGTAGGCTGAGAATGTAGGGTAAGACAAATATCCAATCAACACAAAACTTCCGTGTGTTTGTGGAGGAGAAATGGGCTTAGAGGGTGGCTCAAGATGTTGCTCAGGCCTATAATGAAGCAACTACCAGGAAGCAATAAAGAAAGTGACTATAAGAGGCAAGAACCCAGGACAAGTGTAACCTGCTCCTGTTCTGCCTACGATTACACAGGCTAGCAGCTAGCTTACTTTCTTCCCCATTATTCAGTCTCCCAAAGCCTAAACTGGTTTCTTCCCTCCCTTTAGTCAGTCAGACTCTAAGATATAACTTTTGTTATTGAGTTTTCTAGTATTTTTTATAAAATTCACAGCTTCATACATGATTCAGAAGTACCATTTTAAAAAAAGAAAATCAAGAAGACATTTTGCATTATGCTGGTTTCCCAATTTTGTTGTTCTATGATTTAAGATAAGAAGAAAGATGGCATCAAAATGAGAAGAACTGTGTGGGTTATGACCCTTTCTACTACAGATTTCTCAAACTGCCTCTTTAGATGCCCACTTTGTCATCATTATGTCATCTCTAATAATGGAGACTTTGCCCTAAGGAAAATGAGAGCCAATTAGCATTGTCAGTAGAATGGAAAACACAATTAAAAGTCACAAAGGTTTTTCTGTTCTACAATAACACAACAAAAAGTGTTTTAAAAGTGGACTGCAGCAGAATCACTCTGCACTAAATTCTCCCATGTATGTAGCTATAAAATAATAAGAAATATACACATTGGTCTATGGCCCCAGTACCTGACACAGAGTTCCTATAATTTCCTGAACAATGGGGTTGCTAGGAGTTTCTTTTGTTCCAATGTTTAGTCTCTGCCCTAGTTCATCAGTCAGAGCTCTTAATCCCTTTGTAGACAGAGGTGTTAGGAGAACATTTTGTTCTAACATTTGGTCTTTGACCCCCAGTTTCTGATGAGGAGATTCTAAGATGTCTGTAATTTCCCAGGTGATAGGAGCATCTTTTCTTCTAATGAGGCCACTCATGGCAGGCTTCTGCAAAGCTTCATAATAAGGGGTTGGTTACCAGTGGAACCAAGCATGTATTTGAGGATTGGAACTTTTAGCCCAACCCCTGACCTCTGGGGAGCCAAGAGGGGCTGAAGACTGAGTTGATCACCAATGGCCAATGATGTAATCAGTCATGCTTATATAATGAAGCTTCCAACAACACCCAAAAGGATAAGGGTTGGAAGAGCTTCTGGATAGCTGAACATGTAGAGGTTCCTGAATGGTGGCTTGCCAGCAGAGGGAATGGAAGCTCTGCAACCCTTCCCATATGATTTACTCTATGCATCTCTTCCACCTGGCTGTTCATCGCTACCCTCTGTAATATCCTCTATAATAAATGGGTAAACGTTCAAGTAAAATGTTTCCCTGAGTTCTGTCAGCTGATCTAGCAAATTTATCACCTGCAAAGAGGGGGTCATAGTAACCCTAATTTATAGCCAGTCAGTCAGAAATATAGCTGATGACCAACTACTTGTGACTGGTATCTGAAGCAGGTAGAAGTCTTGCGGGACAGAGCTCTTAATCTGTGCTGATGATCTCATGCTATCTCCAGGTAGATGGTGTCAGAATTGAACTGAATTAGAGAATAACCAGCTGGTGTTAGCTGGAGAATCTGCCAAAGAAATTCATTGGTGTGGTGGGAAAAAAAAAAACCCTACATCTAGTGGCAGAAGTGTTTAGTGACTGTGTAAGAGAAAAGAAAAAACCTGTGATACAGTTTTTTTTTACATTTTCACAGTAGCATTATTTTAGATGCTGTGAATTATAAAAATCAAGTATTTGGTAAGGTTCCTACTTGAAGGAGCTTATAAGACCTAAAAAAAAAAAAAGTTGGGGGAGCTATGATTAACATACATGAAATAATCAGAAAATAAGTAGTCATTAACTATCCAGTTTTGACTGAAAGTAGAGTAGGAGTTCAGAGTTATCCATGGGGATTGAAGCATTATGTAAGAATTTATGGAGTTAGGACTTGAATAGCATTATGAGGGGTTTGGATAGGAAGAGTGGGAGTAAAAGAAATCACCAATGGTGGCCATATTATAACCACGAGCCTGGCAAAAAGTAAAGGTCTGGCAATACCATGGAATACTGAGGCTGTGGAGTAACAGGGGCTCATACAGAACAAGTGGGAATATAAATTAGTACAACTATTTTGAGAAGCAATTTGCCATCAACTAGTACAGCTGAAGAAGTTCACACCCTAGCAATTCCACTCTTAGGTATAAATGCCAGAAAAACTCTTGCATATGTGAATGAGGAAATATGTACATGGATAAGCACAGCATCATTGTTTGTAATGTCAAAAATCTGTAAACAACCTAGCCATTCACTGACAGGAGTGTAAATAAATTCTAGTCAGTGAGCGGAATTTGTATGGCATAGTAAATGAATCAATTATAACTATAGCTACATACACCAATATGAATGACACAGAAACATAATCCTGAAGGAAAAACTAAAGTCACCGAAGACATAGGGCATGACTCCATTTATGTAAAGTTTGAAAAGACAGGAAATGCATCAACAGGTTTCAAAGGAGTCACGCAGGAATGATGTAACTATAAAGCAAAGAAAAAGAAAAGAACCACAAAATTATAAATTATGGTTACCTTAAGGATGGGAGGAGGGAATGGGACTGAGGGGGGACACTCAGGGCTCTTTAGAGTTCCTGGTAAGATTGTATTTCCTAAGGCAGGTGGTCATACACAAATATTTACTATTACATCTATATTATATACGTAATATATATAATGTAGGGATGTTTACATGTGTGTATATAAAACACACTTAGATATATGGTAATACTAATTTTTTTTTTTGAGATGGAGTCTTGCCCTGTTGCCCAGGCTGGAGTACAATAGTGCGATCTCAGCTCACTGCAACCTCCGCCTTCCGGATTCAAACGATTCTCCTGCCTCAGCCTCCTGAGTAGCTGGAATTACAGGCACCCGCCAACACACCCAGCTAAATTTTTTTGTATTTTTAGTAGAGACGGGGTTTCACCATGTTGACCAGCTGGTCTCGAACTACTGACCTCGTGATCCACCCGCCTCAGCCTCCCAAAGTGCTGGGATTACAGGCATGAATTTTTTTTTTTTTTTTTTTTTAAAGAGACAACAGGAACTTCCACATGAAAATACAGAAACGGATAAACAATAAAAACCTGAAAAGAAGATTTCAGCCTGTCATGTTTTGGGGAAATAGGAAAACAAAGATTTTCTTAAGAAGGATATATTATAGCTACTAGGAGGAAACTTCATGTATTATATATACTTACTTGTTTTTTGGTTGCAGGGTATTTAATATCAAGAATTAATTCCTTTATTTCTGTTTCAACCAAATCTATAAAGAAAAAATTAAAGTACAATTTTAATTTTTATAACAGTGAAACATTATTCTGAAAGAAAATGAACATATCTGTACTACCAGTTGAGTCTAAAGGATTTTTGGGTTCTCTCACATTAATGTTTTCTTGTTATGAATTATAATACCCTCTAGATGGCACACTTCAGCCTTACAGAGCAATTCCAATAAGCTCATCCATGCATCATTTTGATTGCTCCATTTAGAATAGTTTATTGATTTAAAAGATGATAGAACAATATGCTTTATTATTCGTATGACAGAATACCTACCAAGATTGGGAGATTTTGTTTTCAGTAAGGCTGCTAGTTTCTTCACTAGGTGCATATCCTTGGCTCGTTCACTCTTCTTATCGCTAACCAATAAATATAACAAATTATTACAGAATGTGAAATTATTTTCTTTCTAATTCTGACACACTCCAACTTTTTTTTCCTTTTAATTTTTTCTATTTAAAGATATCAGTCTAAAGACAAAGGAAACAAAACAGCAACAACAAAAGAGAGTACAACAAACCTAGGAACTAAGAAAAGTTAGCAGAGGAGCGTCAGTCAGCAACACCAGATACACCTTACCTCAGTGCTAAATGGAAGGGAACATTCACTGTTTTCACACTTCCAGACACTGGATCAACAAGACAGATCTGATACGTCTGTGGCTGCCAACTCTGACTGGTAACATTATTTAAGCCCATTATTTTATAGCCAGGATACAGCAGCCTAAAGAAATCACATCCCAATATGGTAAAAACATTAGAACAAGGAGAAATGCCAAAAGGTGCTTTTATTATAGCTAGGAAACCCAACATTATTATCAATTTAGGAGTATTAATAAGGCAACTAAATACTGATAGCAAATACGTAAGTAAAGCTAGCAGAGTTCTGCCTTGTTGAAAGATTCTAAAAAATTAAATGAACACAATCAGGCCCATGTTTCAATGGCAAACAAAGCATTCACCTCACTTATGACTAGGGCAAGCTAAAGGAACCTTTCCTTTTGAGTCTTCATAGCATAAGTAAGGGACAAACATCAGCAACAAGCTAACTTTAATTCAGCAGTGTATCATGGCATTTTCAATTTTTTTTTGGTTATTAAATACTTAAGTATATATCAGACACTCACAGGAAAAACCACAATAAAGAATACTGTAATTCTCAAACTTGTAATCTAATAAGCAGCTTTAGTAAAAGCTTTATTTTAATAAAAGCATTCCTATATTTCATTTTGTAACCAGCACAATGCCAGCATTTGCAGCTTACCTGCAGTGCTTCCCCACATTGAAAGCTCCTACTCGAGGTCCCTGCTGTGTGCTCCACACTTCTAAAATTCCCCTTCTTGGCGCATAGATCACAAGGAATTGAGCTACTCGACTTGGACCCTGAGAATTTCCAAAGGGGGAAAAATCCGCCTTTTCTGGTACTCTTTCATGAAGGTCCTCTACAATTTGAATCCATCCAATTTGTGCATCGCGGTACCCTTAGAGACAGAGGGAAAGGGAAGTTAATTACTTAGTCTAGGTTCCATAGTAGCCACCTGAAGTACTCTGGAATAGTGGGGGTGGGGGTGGGGTAAGAAAAGCTATGAAAGTATATTTTTATTATGGAATATCTTAAATAAAAAATGATAATAAATAATCACCAGTTTATCACCAAGCCTTATCAAGTCTTAGTATTTTGCTATATTTACTTCTGATCACTTTTTCTCTTTAAAAAGAAAATATTGGCTGGGCACAGGGGCTCACGCCTGTAATTCCAGCACTTTGGGAAGCTGAGGCGGGTGGATAACCTGAGGTTAGGAGTTCGAGACCAGCCTGACCAACATGGTGAAACCCTGTCTCTACTAAGTACAAAAAATTAGCTGGATGTGGTGGCACATGCCTGTAATCCCAACTACTTGGGAGGCTGAGACAGGAGAATCGCTTGAACCCGGGAGATGGAGGTTGCAGTGAGCCGAGATCGTGCCACTGAATTCTAGCCTGGACAACAAGACGGAAACTCCCTCAAAAAATAAGAAAAAAGATTATAGATATAATTGAAGCCACCTGATTACCCCTCCTGCTGTCATTCCCTTCCCTTCCCATCCAAGCCTTCTGGTGACATGCAGATAGAAAATATGGATTACAGGGTGATGGGAGGAAGCTCTTGCATGGGAGAAGTAGCTGATGCTGTTTTCCATTTTAGGGTGGTCCCTCACATAGGCAATTAATCCTTCTTTCCAAGGATACAATGGAAAGGAAAACCGGCCGTACCAGCTGCAGAAAGGCAGGCAATGATGCAAGGAATAAGATTGCCATAGTGGATTTGGAGCAGTCAGTACAGCTTTGTCTTCTGTATTTTAGAAGTCTTGCTGAGAACATACCTTTGATATTGTTTCAGGAGACAAATACCAAGGAGAAATGATGTATCTGCAGTACTAAAACTATTTCTACAGATAGTTAGACATGTAGTAGGTAAAGACTGCCTCTGTCTGTCACTGCAGGAGTTCTTTGGCAAGAAGGTGATAGTGGCTTCAGTTTGGTCCAGAGTAATTTAATGACCTCAATCCATTATTCCTCACATTTTAAAGGACAGACAAGATGGTGTCATAAATTGTGGTCTTTGCTGACATGTTACTATTCCAGATGATTCTAAATAATGTAATCATGCCTTCTTTGTCAGGGAGATATTATTCACAATGTGCCTAGTTAAAAGATATTTTCAAGTCTCCCTTATAGTTAGATGAGGCCATGTCACTAAGTTCTGGCTAATGCAGACAATGGTTGAAGGGACTTTGGGGGAATATCTTCAAAGCAGATTAACTCAGTTGCCAGAAGAAGCCTTATTCCTTTCTGCTTCCTTCCTGGAATGCAGGTAAGAGGGCTGTCTATGAGAACCTTGAGTGGGGAAGCTACAAGGAAGAAGACTGGGTTCCTGAAGATACTGTGGTCTGTTACTCGGGTCTGTTACTAATAGCTGAATGAAACTCCTAAGTGACATACTTATTGACACATCAGGTGGATGGACCCAAGCATATGGATATAAAAGTCAAGTCAGTGAAGATGGGTTTTGCTATCTTAAATCTGAAAGACTTGGCATTATAGATTTGGGGAGAACATTTGGCTCAAGAATGGCTTTGTGACGGGGAATAGATGTAGCAGGGGCAAGAAACTGAACTCAGAAATTTACACTAACAGTGAGAATTGAAAGAAAGTACATAAGATAAAGGTTAAACATGATCGAACCTAAAAGATGTATCAGTTGACTACTGGATCAAGCGGTTGCTGATCTGAGTTCATGTCAAAAAAAGAAAATATAAACATAAAGAATTAAACAGTTATCAACCAGAAGCTGAAGCATGATAACATTGCTCAACTATTGGGTTAAAAAGTGAATTAACTTTTTTTCTGGATTTTTGTAAGAAGTACCTTTCCACATGCGTATTGCAATTCCTCTAGCTACATCCAATAAAATAACTCTGCCGAAATCATCTGTTACTGCTGCCAGTGTGTTACATGGAGACAGACATATGCTTTCACCATGGCGTCTAGAATCTGGAAGTCCAAATCTGATATTTAAAAGAAAATAAAAAGCTCAAATCACATTCCAATTCAGAAACATATAACAGAATAATGAAATGCATAAATGAAATAGGCTGAATCTGTTTTTATATAAAGAAATATGAATTTTGCCTGGATTAATAGTTAATTTATTATTCACAACTGGCATTTGTAATATAAAATACATAAAAGAAATAAAACCACAGTCTTATGTAGGTTTTCAATAGATACTCACAATCCTATTCCTTTAGAGAATATAAAGTATAACTATATTTGATTAAAAGGCATGTCACAGAAAACAAAGTCCTCACCGTCAACTAAATTTTAGAATTTGCTCCCATACAGGTATCTTTTGTCTATTTTAAGTTCTTCTTCTTAATCTTTCTCTTTTTTGGAAGATATCACATCCTGTTGATACCAATCTGCCTGAAGCAAAAACGTTCCTTTTTCTAAATAGTTATCTCTAAACTGCTGTTGGTCTATAATCAACCTCATTAGAATTGTGAGTAAAATAAAAGTAAAGAGGTACTAAAAGAGAGCTAGGAAAGCTCACTTAGAGAAAAGTCCCTGAAACAAAGGTGCTCAGTCTTTGTTACATCTATTTGACATGCACAGGGCCATTTGGCTAATTTCTTGACTCTTGATATTAGGAAATGTGGTATGTTACAATGTATTTTTTAAAAAGATGAAAAAAAAAACTTAGAAGATATACTTTGATAAATTTTAATAATTAGTTGGCTCTCTTTAGGTGAAGAACATCCATAAAGAGGAGGTGTTCTATTTCCCTTCATGGTGGTACTTTATATTAGGTAATAAAAAATGATTTTTAAACAAAAGCAAACATTAGAAAAAATGCTTCTGTCTAAAAAATAATAATGAAAAAAAAAAATCATGCTCCCTCCACCAAAAAAAAAATCTCACAAATACACTAACACATTCTACAGCACTACTGAGGTAAACAAGGAAGCACAGGCCAGGAGTCTGTCTAAAGAGTGCCTGAATACAGGACTCCTGCTTTTACTTTTTTTTTTTTTTTTTATAGATGGAGTTTTTCGCTCTTGTCTCCAAGGCTGGAGTGCAATGGTGTAATCTCGGCTCACTGCAACGTCTGCCTCCTGGGTTTGAGCGATTCTCCTGCCTCGGCCTCCTGAGTAGCTGGGATTACAGGCACATGCCATCATGCCTAACTAATTTTTGTATTTTTAGTAGAGACAAGGTTTCACCATGTTGAGCAGGCTGGTGTCAAACTCCTGACCTCAAGAGATCCACCCGCCTCGGCCTCCCAAAGGAGGCTAGGATTAGCCTCCGTCTGCTAGGATTACAGACGTGAGCCACCGTAATCCACTAGGATTACATTTTTTAAAAGAAATCACTAAGTACTTTTAAAGTTTACACAACTTAGTAACAAACTATCTAAACTTTAAAAGAAATGCAACAGTTATCACTAAACTAATTCTCCTACACTAGACCAAGCTAAGTTTGTTAAAAAGCACACTCAAGAAATACATCTTGAATACCTAGTATATAACAAGAATACAGCTGTGAATCAAACAGGTAAGAATCACTCTTCACATGGAGTTTTACATTCTAGTGGGGAAAAGAATTCCACTGCAATGGCTTTCAGAAGTTCCAAAGACTTATGAGATCAGCAAATCAATCAAGCACACAGAAAAACCACACATTTAACAGTACCTTTCTAAAAGGACTAAAATTTGGGAAGCATGACAGACTTGCCTTACAGCTAATGGGGTAGCTGGCTCAACCTTCGGCTTTTGCTTTTGGACAGCTTCTTCTTCGTGCTTACTCTTCCAACCAAGCCAACCACTGAAAAGAAAGAAAACTTAGAATAAAATTGAGCTCCCAGGGTTTTAAAGTGCAGACTATCAAAATATAAGTTAAAAGCAAGCTAGATACAAATGAGATATTTTTTATTTAATTGTTAAGTAATTACCTGGCAGCATTAAATAAAGCAGAAGTGAGTTTACTTGCAACTGCTAGTGCAACATGGGATAATAATGGTTGTGTGCTTCCCTGAAAAACAGAACATTTGAAAGAGTAAACTTAGCAGCTTACAAAGAACAAACATACTTTCTAAATAAAGCTTACTTTAAAATGCTTCCAAAAGTTGTAAAGGCTGGACTAGCAACTCAGCTTCTTTCAGAGTACAGTAAAAAGTTTATTTTAGGAGCAATATAAAAAATAGTTTTAACTCTATAGTTTAAAAATAAAACCACAATTAGTGTATTTTACCATTAAAATTTCCCTCTTTAAATTGTAATTTCATTAAAATAAATTTTAAACTAGGATATTAAGATTACATTATTCTAGCTGGACTATGGATTTCACATCTACACATAACTGGCTCTTTTCTCTCTTTTTACATATAAATGCACACACATATACACACGCATTTTTATAAAAGTAAAAAGATATTTTGGGCAATTCTGAGAAGCATGCTTTTTAAGTGAGAAACAAGAGCTGCCAAATCTAACACTCAACTCTCCCCTATTTTAGGAAGCAATTTTCACCACTTATAACAAGTATAGTTGGCAGCTTGTTCTGTCTTTACAATTCCTCATTTACTGAAATCCCTGGTGGGCTGACATCATTCACAAGTCTGAGCATCTGACTATTGCACCAATATTTAAAGACATCTCAGCTATCAAATAATTCAGGGCTTCAGAAACAAAGAATTTTCTTTTACACTGATGGTAGTACCTTTTCAGTTAATGTAAAGAATTTAGAAGAAAGCTAGATGAGATTAATTTTAATTTCAATTGAAATTTAGAAATATAAACTGCTTAATCTTCTAAGGCTAAGCAAGTTACCACATCCACTTTGTAGACAAATTGTAAAATCAAGAGCGGCCTTACTCATGATCATTGATAAAACTCATACCTCTAAAGCATAGAAGAAGCCAGTAAATGGATTGGACCCTACAGTGATATACTGAGACATGGCAGGTGGACTATTTTTAATTGCTGCATTAAATCCACCTATATTGGAGGCAGTCTTCATTTGATCAAAGGGGGACAGAGTCATAATACCTAATGATAAAACAAACAAACAAACAAACACGTGACTTGAATGTACAATGTTATTTTGGTCATTACATTTTTACTTCAGTTCCATTCTAAGATGCTAAATGTTTCGTTTTATTTAATAAACAAAAGTCATTTTAAAAGCTACAAAATCAACATCAGAAAATATTCTGCTGGGTTCGGTGGCTCACTCCTGTAATCCCAGCACTCAGGAGGCCAAGGCAGGTGGATCACTTGAGGTCAAGAGTTTGAAATCAGCCTGGTCAACATGGTGAAACCCCACCTCTACCAAACATACAAAAATTAGCCAGGCGTGGTGGTGGGTGCCTGTAATCTTGGCTACTTGGGAAGCTGGGGCAGGAGAATTGCTTGAACCTGGGAGGTGAAGGTTGCAGTGAGCCGCGATCGCACCAACTGCACTCCAGCCTGGGCAACAGGGTGAGACCCAATCTCAAAAAAAAATTAAATATTAAAATTTCCATCTACAATTTCTATAACGTATAGAATATCATAAAAACAAAATTTAATTTTTTGAACAGATACAAAACTCAGAGGTACCAGAAGTATACAGTCCACTTTTATCCCCAAATATCAATTCATCTTTTTTTTTCCTCTCTTTTTGAGATTCTCTTACCTCAGCCTCCCCGAATAGCTGGGATTACAGACATGCACCACCATGCCCAGCTAATTTTTGTATTTTTAGTTGGTACGAAGTTTCACCATATTGGCCAGGCTGGTCTCAAACTCTTGACCTCAGGTGATCCTCCAGCCTCAGCCTCCCAAAGTGTTGGGATTACTAGTGTGAGCCACTGCGTCCTGCCAATATAGGCATGTGCTGCTGTGCCTGACCTTACTAATTTTCATATACAGGTATTGCCTCCCCTTTGCCTGAAAACTGTCAAAAAATGCATTTGTCCTTAAAATGTGTCCTAGGAAAGGAAATTCTTTGAGTGAGTTCATAAGGAAACTATTCACTGGATTTATAGGAATTAAAGTGATCAAACAAATCCTTGGACTATTTTTTAAATTCCCCTCCCACCTCCTGGACTATTATAAAATATCAGAACACCTGTCTCATAGTCATGAATGAATCCATGATTCAGTATACAAAATGTTTTCACTACATTACAAAATTTTCATAAGTTTTGCCTGACTCCACCAGAACACGATCAAAGGGCAAATTCGTATGGCATATACATTGAAATTTGAGTTTTAAAATAGCTTCTTTTCAAACTCCCATGCGATATACACAGGAGTATAAATTGCTACAAGATAATCCAGAGGACAATTTTGCAATAGATATGTAATTTTTTTAAAGGATTCTAATTTATGGTAAGGAAATGGTTGATCAGTCCTTTCCATCCTTGCTACCAATGATGTTTTCCTTCCTATAACTTAAATAATCCATTTTCAATGTCACACTTTAGATCCAGTCATCAGCAACTGTAGATTCTCTGTAACTATGATTTCAAGCGTACCGCACTTAGACCACCATTTCCTAGCTTTCCATCTCAATTACTCCAGAAACTCCCTGCAGTAATTTCACAATTTTGAGTTTAAATTAATTAATCCTACTATTTTTTCCACTGTTTATCAAGTACCTCTTGGGATCACTTCCCTTTTTATCCAGCTTAGAGTTCCATCATCATCACTTTCTTGCAAATATCCACAACCTCTCTACACTCGTCTCCCCCTACACACATACTCCCCCGGCTAAATCTTAACCTTAGTTGACCTAAATTTTCTGCATTCTCTGCTCTTGAAGCAAAATAGCTAATCATTGCTAAGAAAAACAATACCTCTGGGTTTCAAAGTAAGGACCCCAAACAAATGGACATAGAGTTTGGTCCAAAATCATTCTGACCTCGTCAACCCCTCCTTCCCATCTTCAATCCTTTGAAATCTATTTGTTGAAGAAACAAGCCTGTTTGAGACTAATTTCCCACAGTCTACATTTTGCTGACCACATTCCTATAGTATTATTTAAAGTGTTTTTCTGCCCTCTATATTGCTACACATTGGTACTGAATTTAGGGGGCTGTTATCTTTCGAGTCACCAATTTTAGCACTATTTTTCATTAATTTAAGGTGGTATGGCTTATTTATATCTCTCTTTCTCTCCCTATATCCTTCCAAAATATTTGTATCTCAATTTTTTATTAAATTCACTGTTTTTATTATTAGGAATAATATAAGTATTACTCACTGCTGAGATACAGTACTTACTGTAATTACATTTCCTTGGCTGTGCATTCTTTTTTTTCTGGAGTTATTATTACCTTGTCATTAAGAGTTTTCCCTGAGCATCTGAGGTCTTTCCACACTTTGAAAGACATCAAAGTCCCTCTCAATATAAATTTCCATAAAGTCAAACTCATTGGATAATTTTCTAGGCCTAGTAGAGTGACTAAAGAAGGCCTCTTTGACAACGTGATATATTAAGAGACCTGAGTGAAGAGAGGGAGAAAGCCATGCGACTAGCTAAAGTTTTCCAGGCAGAGGGAGCAGTAAATCTAAATGCTCTAGAGTAGGGATATGCCTGCTGTGTCTGAGGAACACAGAGGAGATCTGCGTGATGAAACACAATGAATGGGGAGGGGTACCCTACAGGAGACAGTGTCAGAGGTACCATAAGCCAGATAAAGTTGGGCCTTGTATGTCACAGTAAGGAGCAACCAGAAGAAAGATGATGTAGAAAAAAAGGAGGAGCAAGTTTGGCAGGAGGAAATTAAGAATTCGATTTTGGATATGTTAAGTTTGATATCTAGGTAGAAATTATTCAGTAGGGAGCTGGAGAAATGAGTATGAGGCTTCAGGAAGAGGTCAGGACTCCATAAAAACGGATATACTGAGAATCTATTTCTTATGCTCCTTGTTTGTGATTTTAGAGAGCAGGGGGTGAAAATATTTATTCTTAAGCCTATATTAATTTGGCTTTCATCCTCACCATTCTACTGTAACTGTTCATATCAAAAGTCACTAAATAACTCCATACTGTCAAATCCAATGGACCACCTTCTTTTCTTGAATTCTACGAAACATTCCACAGTAAACCACTCCCTCTCAAATTTATATCTACAATCCCAGCTTCCTCCCTGAACTTCAGACTCTCATGTCCAATTCATACACCTGATACCTCTACTTGAATGTTTAACTGTGTCAGAAGTTAACCTGTAAAAACATAACTCTTTATGTGCCTCTCCTTCTCCTTATTCTCATTTCAGTAAACAGTCTCATCATCCACCCTGCTGCTCAAACTTAAAAATTAAGAAACCCTTAATGCTTTCCTTTCTCTTGTTTCTCAAAACCATCCCTGAGCAAGTACAAAGTGTATCTCAAATCTGTCTACCTCCTTCCAACTCGACTGCCTCCACCATAAAGCCATCATTCTCTCTTGCGTGAATTATTGCAATATACTCCTAACTGGTCTCTTTGCTTTCTTCTGCAAGCATCTCTCTATCCAGCAAACAGAGATATGTTAAAATGTAACCCCCTACTTAGAATCCATCAATGACATCCATTGCATTTAGAATAAAATCGGATCTCCTTATCCCTACATGATCTAACCCTAGACTGCATCTCCAACCTAACCTTGTCCTGTTTTCCCCTCACTTTTTATGGTCAAGTCACACCAACCTCCTTTCTGTTTCTTGAACACTCTGAGGTCTTCAAGGCTCCCAGGCCTAAATCCCTGATGCTCCTCTGCCTCGAATGCTCTTCTGACACCTCTTTCCATAGCTGGCTCCTTCTCATCCTTCAAGTCTCAGTCTGAATGTCATGTCCCTGGAGAGGCTTTTCCTCACTAGTCTACCTAAAGCACCCTCTTCCTTTACTCTCTGTCATAACCTTCTACTTATTTTCTTCATGATGCTCACTAACAGGCTGATATTATATTTATTTATTTAGTTTATTGTTTGTCTCCCCATCACCAAAATGTAAGCTTTATCAGGGTGGAGTCCTATCTTGTATTTCTAGCACAAATATTAATAGCTACTCATTTATTTGTTGAATAAATTAACCAGACCTTTACATAAAGATATACATACAATGAAGTTTACTGTACCTTTTTTCATTTTGTAGGCTGGGGATAAATGAATAGAATAACATTTTCTATCCAATCATTTTCCCTAGCCAGTTTCAATGTTCCAAAGTTTAATTAACAGAGCAGGGAAGCCACCCTGAACTGAACTCAACACTTTGGAATTTTGTAGCATTTTCATGCTAGCAAAAACTAGACACACTGAAATGTTTACCAATAGGTTTTTATTACAGAGTGTACCATATAAGAGCTACGCAGTAAATAGAAAGACAGCCTGTGTGTCAGATATCTTGTTAGCCTCTCTAGAGTCACACTCCTTCCTTTTCTCCTTGCTCTTTCTCTCCCAGTGTCCAGTTTTCATAGAATGAGTAGAACTTGACCAAGTGAACAAACACAGAGGAGGCATTCTAGCCAACATACACATAGATCTAGGGGTAAAAGTGTATAGTGTGCTGGAGAAACAATGAGTGTTTCCTCCTCTGCTCCCACTACAGCTGGTCCCCTTGTCTGCTACAATTATTATGTTTTAGTACTGCAGCCATTCTCATGTGTTTCTTCTAACTAGACTCCTAGACTCACACTTTAAGACAGCAGGGAAGCATGTCTTTACATCTCTATACCCTCAATACCTAACACAGTAAGCTCTCTTATAGTGGCTGCAAGAAGAAATCTGCTTTTATCTACATTTTACTAGTTTAAAGGTTACTTTTTTTTTTTAAGTGATGGGGTCTCGCTATGTTGCCCAGGTTGGTCTTGAACTCTTGGGCTCAAGAGATCCTCCTACCTCAGCCTTCTGAGTAGCTGGGATTACAGATGCAAGCCACCACACCTGACCAAGGTTACATTTTTAAAAGACTGATTTATATGGTCACTATCTAGACCAAATTTGTCTGTAGAAAAGTTAGTCAAATAGTGAGTGATTTAAAACTGTACAATACTGTGGCTGAGGGCATAATTAAATCTTTATTAAAACTGCTACCATTTATTTTTCCTTTGTTTTGTTTTCTTGAGACAGAGTCTGTCACCCAGGCTGGAGTGCAGTGGCGTGATCTTGGCTTACTGCAACCTCCACCTCCCGGGTTCAGGCAATTCTCCTGCCTCAGCCTCCTAAGTAGCTGGGAATACAGGTATGTACCACCACATCTGGCTAATTTTTGTATTTTTAGTAGAGACGGGGTTTCGCTATGTGGGTCGGGGTAATCTTGAACTTCTGGCCTCATGTGATCCACTCACCTTAGCCTCCCAAAGTGCTGGGATTACAGGTGTTAGCCATCATGCCCGGCTTTAAAGATACATGCCTATGATGATCTGAATCTGAACTACCTTCCAGATGTCTCACTAAAGGCAATGCATTTTTTTTCACATAATAAATGTTGGCCAGGTGCAGTGGCTCATGCCTGTAATCTCAGCACTTTGGGAGGCTGAGGCAGGTGCACCTCTTGAGGTCAGGAGTTCAAGATCAACCCAGCCAACATGATGAAATCCCATCTCTATGAAAAATACAAAAATTAGCTAGGCGTGGTGGCGCACGCTTGTAATCTCAGCAACTTGGGAGGCTGAGGTGGGAGGATCACTTGACCCTGGGAGGCGGAGGTTGCAGTGAGCTGAGATCACGCCACTGCACTCCTGCCTGGGTGATAGAGCAAAGCTCCATCTTAAAAAATAATAATAATAAATAAAGAATAATGTCCATCTCTAATAAGTGAGATACTTTAATAAAAAAGTTTAAGAAGTAAATTCCAAAAGAATTTGAATTAGTAATACTTACCAACACTAGCATGATCAATAATAGTGTCAATATCCTGTAGACCCCATTTCTTATAAGCTAATGGTGGTGGTTGTATGTTCTCATTGCCTGATGCTGCAGCTACAAAAGATAAAATAGACAATCCAAACTTAATTATTATGGATAAAATGAAGTTTTACAAAAAAATCATTAAAACCATACTAATTTATTATTCTAAAATTTCAGCTAATAATGAGTCAAAGTAATGAAAACAAGGCATAAAGTGAGATTTATTCATGCCAAGACAACGCACATAAAATGCAAACATTTAAAAGACTAAGTTGGCTGTCACAAAAGATTCTGGAACACTCAAGTCATTAAAGAAGACTACTAAAAATTCTAGAATACTACTAAAAATCAAAGTGAATTCAGGCTGGGCACAGTGGCTCATGCCTGTAATCCCAGCACTTTTGGAGGCCAAGGCAGGCGGATCGCTTGAGGTCAGGAGTTTGAGATTAGCCTCGCCAACATGGTGAAACACCGTCTCTAGTAAAAATACAAAAGTGAGCCAGGCATGGTAGTGCACGCCTGCAGTACTAGTTACTCGGGAGGCTGAGGCAGGAAAATCACTTGAACCTGGGAGGTGGAGGTTGCAGTAAGCTGAGATCACGCCACTGCAATCCAGCCTGGGTGAGAAACGGAGACTCTGTCTCAAAAACAACAAAACAAAATGAAACAAAACAGAACCAAAACAAAGTGAATTCAAACTGCAAGTGATGCCAACTAAGCAATTTCTCCCTCTTGACAAACGGGATAAAATCCTAGGGATAGGAATCAGTGCTTTACTGAGTGAAAAACTAAAAACTTGATATACCTGGCAGAGCATACATACAGTAAGGTCTCTAATCTAGGTAACTGAGGCCAGACTTGATAGAAAGATATGTTAAAAGCAACAGCACTGTGAAAAAAATGAATGAAATGTCAATCCTTAACCTCAGTCCCTTTGCTTAGTGACTAAGAAAAGGAAAAGCAACAGTTATACCTCTTGCCATAGATTCAGGCACATCCCATCAATCAGTAAACACCCATGTTACATATCAGAATACTGCTGAGTTCTGGCTGTTTATTCAGGAAAGTGAAAAAATAATAATAAAGAGAAAATACAATCCTCTAAATATTGCAGATTGATAGTAAGGCCAAGAAAAGATAATTTTCTTATACGCTGAAATAAACATCACAATTTATGGCTAAGTAACCAGAACTCTTTTTATAGCAACTTACAACCCAAGGGCACTAAGTGGCTTAATTGCTTATTTCCTAGGAGACAAATGGCTTTATGGTCTCATACACAACAAGCAAACAGAAATTCAAAAATGGTGAAAAATTAAATGACTGATAATACCAATCATAAAATAATTGTCTATTTCTAGTTTATTAATAAACTTCTTACCCACAGGAAACTGCCTTTTGGCATATATATTAATGGTGAATATTTTAAATGTCCTTAAGATAATGAAGCTTATGGTGGGTTAGATTTAAATAATTTAAAAGATATGAAAATAGGTATAAAAATTTAAACCAATTGTAAAAAAAGAACCATATAGCCGAGACTTCAGAATTTTACCAATCATACCAACATAAAAAAGACAGAGAAAAAAATTTTATTGCAATATAAGATGCTGCATTTAGACTAGATTTAGAAATAATTTCAGATCTCAATTTTACAGTTGTTAAAATATGGAAAAGCAAAGTCTTAAAATCAGTGAAAATATGAGTAGTGGTGCTGACTTCCCCTTTTCTTCTGGGATTGAGTAGAGGAGACTTAGTGGCCCCAAAACAAAGTTTAACTCCTAAATAGCTTCCTGAAAACATAGGCTAATTAGGATATGTTTACTGCTTCATAAAATTGTTTCTAAACCTAGTCTAAATCCAGCATCTCATATTGCAATCAAAAATTTTTCTCTGTCTTTTTTAGCAGGTTGATATGATTGGTAAAACTTCTGATGTCTTGGCTATGTGGTTCTTTTCTAGTATATGTTTTTTACTAGGTCAGAATTTGTTTAAATTTTTATACCTATTTTCAGAATCTTTTAAATTATTTAAATTTAGCCCACCATAAGCTTCATTATCTTGAGAACATTTAAAATACTCACCATTAACCTATATATCAAAAGGCAATTTTCTGTAGGTAAGAAGTTCATTAATTTAATAAACTAGAAATTGACAATTATTTTATAATCGGTATTATCAGCTATTTAATTTTTCACTAAAGTTAAACTTTGTTTTGGGGCCATTAAGGCTCCTCTACTCAATCCCAGAAGAAAAGGGGAAGTTAGTACTACTACTCATATTTTCACTGATTTTAAGACTCTTCCATATTTTCACAACTCTGAAATTGAGATCTGAAAATTGATGGTGTATCTTTCACTGGCAATAGTTTTTCTTCTTAGTGGTACATAAAATAATAGTGTTTCTTATAATCAATGGCATGTTGAATTTGATGAAATATCTCTTCCAAAAGATGTAACAGCATCAGAATATAAACTATAGGTAGTAAAAGTAAGAATTCTTGATTATTTGGGCAGTTTTCATCCCTAAGTCACAAAATAATGTCGTTGCCCACATGTACATTAAGTTTAGGCCTCTAGCTTTTCTCCATTCTGAGTGTTCTGAGTTAGCAAAAAGCAGCTCATGCTGACTCCCAGCTGGGTCCTGCTGACAGTGATATTGGTAGGATCTCGCATTTCCCCTGCACACGGTGGACAGCTTTATCCTCAGGGAGGACAGAAGCAATGTGGAGTCACCAGATTTTAGGATGTTGGCCTTGATCAGCTGCTGATCTAGTGAAAATCTGGTTCCTCAGCCACATGCAACTAAATTCTTTACCCCAGTGTTGGTTGTCAATATAGTTGCAAATCTAGCTAGTCAAGACATACTGCTGAATTCATAAAGAAAGCCCAGTGTTCCTGTGCTGACCACACTCTCCAAAGGCAACATGTGAAGTGTTTATGTTTTAGCGCTTGTCTCTACCTTACTAAGTAATCTACTCAACATGCTTCCCTGTCTCTATAGGAGGCAGGTTTTTCCCATAAATCTAGTTTAGAAGGCCTTTCTTTATTTAGAAGACATACCTAATTTCATAAGCAGATGAAATTAAATAAAACAAACATGAACAGAGGTTAAATATTTCTTGCCAAAATATTACCTTTTGCTACCTGATTTCGACAAGCACGAAGAGATTGAAAAAGGCTAAATCCATCAATAGTCACAATGGCAGCTGGATATAAGATACTCAACTCTTCATTCTATTTAAGAAATTTAAAAAAAAGTTCTTGAATAGATACATCAAATAAGCTTATCTACTTTTTATTATACTAAATTTCACGAATAATGTAAAATGAAAAATACTGGGACTAAACCATCAACCACCCAACACCCAAAGCAGATTCAGGCAGAACAGTAAAAATAGATTAAAAAATTAATTTCAGAGTGCCTTTTTGCCAAAGACCTAAAATTCTTTTCAAAATATAACCTTTTGTGTATGGTAAATAATTGTCTCAAAGATGCTGAGAGTAACACAAAGAATTACAATTTCATAAAAAGTAAGTATACTCATTGCATAGATAAAACAGTATGTAAAAACAGAAGAAAGAAAACTCACCTGAAATCCCAGACATGTCCCAATACACATCCCCAAATATATTCAAAAACATTTGCATAAGGCTATACCAAATATAGCCATGTTAGTAAAAACCTAACATGGTTTTTACTATTCAATAATATGTCAATGATATTTTTCCATTTCAATAAGTGAACAAATCATTTTTTGTTGTGGCTGCACAGTCTTTCATTATATGTACCCTATTTTACTTAACCAGTTCATATTGACAGACATTCAGTATGGCCTCCTGCTTCCACTCTTGCTCTCTACAATCCACACTCCACACAGCCAGTGTGCTCTTCGTAAGATATAACAGATCAAACCAATCTCCTGATTAAAACTCTCCAATGACTCCCTTCTGCATTTAGAATAAAACCTGAACTCATTAACCATGGCTGCAAGATCTGGCAAATATGAGAGGTCATCATTACCCTCAGACCTTTGCATGTGCTTGGACCTTCTCCTCTCCGATCTTCACCTGCCTAATTGTTCCTGTCATTCAGGTTTCAGTTCAAATGTTAGTTATCCAGAGAGGCTGCTCCTGAACCTCCATCTCAAACAACATACCTATTCTCTTGGCACATTACTATCTCATCAACATGACTTCCTTTACAGCACCTATCAGAGACTGGAATCACCTTGATATCTCTAGCTGTTTCCTGTTGGTTTCCCTCCACCATCCCCAAACTGTAAACTCCATGAAAGTAGGAACCTTGCATATTTGTTACACCAATGAATTCTCAGGGATTAGAAGTGAACTGGGCAAATAATAGGCAGTAAAGAATATTTATGAATTAATATATTTTCATCATTATAAACATCACTGCAATAAACATTCTTCAGTCTATATCTTTCCATGTTACTAGGATATTACTTTAGTGTAAATTCCTTCAAGTGGGTCAGTTGGGTCATACAGTATTCATAGTTTTCATTCTCATATATATTAATTGCCTCAAAAAGTACCTATCAACTTATATTTCCACCAATAATACATGAAAGGGACTGTTTCTCTATATTGTCATCAAAAGTTTATTAATCTTTATCTTTGCCAATCCAAAAGGTGAAAAGTTATCTCACTGTATTTTCTTATAGTTCTTAGATTATTATTAAGGTTCAACATTTTCTTATATGTTTTTGGGCCAATTTCTTCTCTTGAGATCTGCCTTGCTCCTTTTTCTACTGGACTGTCAGGCTGTTTCTCTGTTTAAAAAAGACTTCTGGGCCACAGGAGCATAAGCCAGTGGGGAAGGGACATGGCATATATTCTCACATGACAAGTTCACAAGGCTAAGTACGCATGGCCCAGTGAGCACAGCAGCAGGGAGAGAGCCTCCTCACTGACTTTGGGGAGCTAGAAAACAGAAAAGATCTAATCACTAGCAAGTCAATTTCTCCAAAACCAGGTAGTCTTCCTGAAGAAAACACTAACACAAATACCAATGGCCCCAGATCCGTAGATACTGTGCTAGATGACAGAGAAGATCTTTTTACAGAAGCTATTATGCAAAAGAAATGTCTCTGAAATTCCAGAAGGAGATTTTCCCTCTCTTTCGAATCCTCTCCTGCAACAAATGACCTGCTGTCACCCGTACTACACTCATTGCTCCTAGAACTGAATTAGAGGAAATATGCTTCTGTGATCTCTCACAAATCTGGGAGTATATTAAAAAGAAGCAAATAGAAGATATTTTTGATATATAAATGGACATGTCAGATCCACAGCTGTTTAATAAAGCATAAAGAGTAACAACAAAGACTTCCTTCTTGATAAAAATTTTGAAATGATTTTCTTGGTTTGTATAGCAAATAGCAAGCAAATATTTAAATGTTAGTTATATTTTTCCACTAGTTCTAAAAAAAGAGTATTATAGACATGACCAAATTTAACGTATTTTAAAAAGCTTTGTCATCCAGTGAATTTTTAGAAAAATGAAAAACATCTCTGGAAAGTTATCTTCAGTTCACAGATTATCTTCTTTGATTTTCAGCTGTTCCTTGTTTCCTTTAATAGTTCAATTTCTCCCATCTCCTTATGATGAGTATTATTAGTTACTAATACTTAAGTCTTCAGCCTGCAGTTTTATTTTCCTACACTCTTTACTTGAAAGAATTCATTCATTATCTATGACTTCAGCCATCATGTCCAATCTAGTCTCTGTGCCTATACAGCAATTTTGTATCATTACATGATACCAGTAACTTGATTTTATTTCCTACCATCGGCCTCAAACTCAACATGTGCAAAACCTCATTTAATAACATTTACTGCCAATGTAGTCCCTTATTCCAACGTTGACAATGGTACTCCTCAGGATAAGTATCTTAGAGACATCTTTAGCTCATTTTTAAAAAACTGTACATCTCTACACAATAACCAGGTCCTATTAAGCTTCTTCAAAACAATTTTTTTTTTTTTTTTTTTTTTTTTTGAGACGGAGTCTCACTCCGTCATGCAGGCTAGAGTGTAGTGGCGAGATCTCAGCTCACTGCAACCTCTGCCTCCCGGGTTCAAGCAGTTCTCCTGCCTCAGCCTTCCAAGCTGCTGGGACTACAGGCGCATGCCACCATGCCTGGCTAATTTTTTGTATTTTAGTAGAGACGGGGTTTCACCGTGTTGCCCAGGCTGGTCTCAAATTCCTGAGCTCAGGCAATCCGCCCACCTCGGGTTCCCAAAGTGCTGGCATTACAGATGTGAGCCACCGTGCCCGGCCCCAAAACAATTTTTGTACTGGTCCTTTCTCTCTTCCCATAGCCATTTTAGTCCTGGCTCCCAGCACTCCACATCTGTTACAGATAACTTAAAAAAACCAGATAACTAGCCTCCCTAATTCCAGTTTATCTTGAAGAAAGAAATCTTCAACATTCCTTTGATCACATCACTTCCTTCTTATAAATCTTTAGGAGTTTCTCTCATTTCCTAAATCAATTCTAATTTTTCACTTGGCCTTTGAATTTATGCAAAATTTGGCCACTCTGCTTGACAGTCTCTCATTATTTTATAACATAAGTTTCTTTGTTGTTGCATATACAGTTCTACATTCGAATCTTCTATCAAATTTTCTCCTGATTACCTGAAACACTTTCCCCTCTTTTCTCCTAATTAAATTCTATACCCATTGTTCAAGGCTTAATGCAAATCTCACCTCATCAATGAAATTTTCTTATTTTCCTGGTCCAAATTGACTCCTCTTTCTCTAAGCTTGTACAGAATGTATTCTGTCCAAATAAATTACCAATAAATTAGGTATTGCTTTATATTACTGATTAATTCATCCACAGATATTATTAGATTTTAATCCTAGTCTCTCTTACTAGATAAGATTCTTTTGCAGCTCCAGTCCATCTCCCATGCAAATTCAATTAACAAATGCATACAGTATATACACCTGCTTACTTGAAATCTTTTGGAAGCTAAGTAGTACAACAAAGGGAAGGCATATTACATAGGTTTGACTATGCACTCTGCAAAACAAATAAAAGCATATTGGTTTAAATGGCCCTATAATTATTTTTTGACTAAGACAACCAAAATGTTACAAGGCACCTAAGAGGTTAGAGCCTTAGATACTAAGCAGTATTATCTTCTCAGTTGAAATCTTCAATGAATACATGTATTTTCCACTATGAACAAAAGCTTAGTAACCCCTTTTCTGAGAAACAGTTAAGTACAAGGTAGTATCACTAGTAACAAGAAGGCCAATTTTTTTTTCTTTTACTCTAGGTAATTTTGGCACCTAAATCCAAATAAAAAAAAGATATAAAGTTATAGAATATCATATTTTTGCCTTAAGTCACTATTAAATTCTAAAAATAAGAAATTTTCTTGGCTTCTAACTAAAGGGTTTTACTTTGTTGTAGAATGAAACATAGAATATTTCATTAAATAAGTAAAAGCAAGACTGGTATTCTTTACTCCACTACAAATAGATTATATTTCTAGACTATGATAGCAGAGTTAACTGTGCCACAAGACAAAGATATCTTTTAAGTTTCCACCCAAAAAAGAGGAGAGAAACTGCTTCAAAGTAATGCCACTATTACTGTTGGAACACAATTTTTTACACTACCTGCTCAGTTACCCCGGGATGCCGTGGTATTTCATAGGTTCTGCATTTAAGTTGAAGTACTGGGTCCTCATTCAAAAGCTGTGCAAGCAAGAGCACACCATTCTAGGAGGAAGCACAGAGAAGGTCCCTGCTTGTTTTCTTACCAATATACCTGAGCAGGTATGGCCAGGCAAAGAGTACCATTTCCCCAACAGTTTTCCAGAGATACCAGGTAGACTCTTTTCAGAATACAGCTCCTCTTCTCTGTATCTTCTACCAGAACTTACCATGGCCTATCCCGGCCTCTACCCCAATAAAGCATCAACTACACATTTTCAGGCAGCAGGCAATAAAGTCACAAACTAGTATAAAGGGGATGCACAACCAGATATTGCAGTCAACTAGTGTTTCCTAGCTGTTGAAAACTCAACTCACCTCAGTGTAGAAGCGTACATAACCTGAAGTAAAACCCACCACAATGCAGGTCCAGTCAGGACGCCCAGTGGAACTCCTGTTACAAACAAAATTTATTATCTTAACAACTCATAAATCAAAGCAAAGGAAACAGATAACTCTTATTTATCCTTACCTCTTTTGGCTTGCTAGTGGGATACATAGAGCACTGGTTACACATTCCCTAAAAACAAAAACAAAATCATATGCTTACCCACCGAACTTACTAATTACTTTTATTTCTTTATAATTGGATGTTAAAGGACAATAACTGGAAGATGACTTCTGTGAACCAGTTTTATTTGATGCATAAGTAAAAATACAGTAAAACTCTACTACCGTTAAGGTCCATAAAATTCATTCACACAAAAGATAATGCCACATGCATTTGAGGTTAATAAAAAACAGAATTTTTGACTCTCCTTGTCATGAAAAACATGAAAGTACAGAAAGCAAAACTTTACTTATACAACTGACTGTACACAGAACTGAGCAAAGCTCAAACGATCCCCATGCGGCCATTTCCTACTATGTCCCTCCCTCTCCTCTGCTTCAGCTAAGAACTTCAGCCTGCCTCGTTGTTTGAGATCAGGAGCTGGGAAAATGGTTGAGGAACTGCCAGTCACGTTATATGCAAACTGTATTTCTGTGGGGTACATTATTTTAGGAACTTACGTATTTCAACTTGCTGTCTTTTCTATTTTGCAGAAACTGCTCTGATCATCTATTTCTAAGCACGTTAGGTGTGATGTTCCATAAAAAAGATTTATACATTTTTTTCTGACACGTAGACTTGAAATATTTGTCAGGAGCTCAGAAACTAAGTCTCAAAATCAAAACAACTCCTACCCACTGACTTTTATTAAATCTGTCAAACCTGAGGATCATCACAAGCTTATCCAAGAAACTAAAAACATTCTACGCCACACATCATACTAGGTAATCCATGAACAAAATTCATCTTCATGTTTGTTCACTGTTTTTAAAGTATTATGTTTGCTTTGCATTTCTGACAGAGATCAAATGTCTTTAAAACACTTAGGCTAAATGGTGTAAGGAGAAATATTACCATTTATTTTGATAATAGTAGAGAATATTTCAAATATCTACGATGTGCCAGGCTATGTTCTAGGCACTTCCACTTGCTTGTCTTTTATCTGAATTCAAAGTCTGGAGGATTTTTTTACTCATTCTGATCAGACAGTTTTCAGTCATAAAAATTTAATTGAAAACCAGTTTTGGGTTCAAGGTTCTAGGCTAGCAGCTCCATCATGTAGTCACACTGGATATCATAGTTATAAAAGTTTTACTGGGTCAGCAGGAAACGTACTATCTTGCATTTCTGAAGTATTTATGAGTTTTAAGAATTAATGTAGTACTGTACCCTTCAAGTATAAGACCAATATCAGCAAAGCAGAGAAGACAATAATTGCCCTTGACTTTCTGGATGAATAAAATTAGTAATGGAGAACAGAGGGAAAAGACAAAATTAATAAGGATTTTATGAGATTCTTTTCAAATTCTTCCTTAAATCTTCCAACAGAATTAAAAAAAATAATTACTTGATATATAAAATTTGCTGATCAAATCATTCTCTACAACCTATAAAGTTAGGATGCATATACATTCACTAAACATTTCAAATAATGAAATTTCTTTCTTATTTTAAAAAGTTGTTTTTTTTTAAAGAGACAAGGTGTCACTCTGTTGCACTGGCTAGAATGCAGGGCATGATCATAGCTCACTGCAGCCTCAAACTCCTGGGTTCAAGCAATCCTCCTGCCTCAGCCTCTCGAGTAGCTGGGACTACAGGTGTGCGCACCATGTCCAGCTAATTTTTAAATTTTTTGTAGAGACAGGGTCTTACTATGTTGCCCAGGGTGATCTTGAACTCCTGGGCTCAAATGACCTTCCTGCCTCGGCCTCCCAAAGTGCTAGGATTACAGATGTGAACAACTGAGCCCAACCAAATAATGAAACTTTTTAACAGATTCACTTACAAGTCAAACAATTTCATACATACATGTAACACACAGAGAAACAAAAATTAATTGGCACCTACCCTTCTTCGACATTTAAAGAACCACTCCAGCCAACAGCAAATTGCATTTCTTCCTTTCCTTTATCACTATATTTCCACTTTGCTGAAAGAATGAAGATATCATATAAAATAATTTTAGCTATAATATACTAAAAAGGTAATTTATAGATTTTGTTCTTTACCCTTAGAATATGATTACAAAATTTAACAGTTGTATGTTAACTGACTTGGGTCTTTTTATAGGTAAATATAAGATAAAAATATTTACAAGATTCTTATAATACACCTTGTCTCCTGGCCTTCAGCCTCTCCTTCCCCCAATTCAACCTGTATAATGTTGTCATAGTTCTTATAGAATAAAGTTACTAATTCCTATGCCCACCCTGCCTAGTTTAAGACTACTTTTATCTTCAGATGACAGAGAAAATTTTTCTACTAGACCTTTGCTACTTGAGGGTAAATTTGCTTTGTAAGACCATTCTATACACATTTTACACATAATCTTACTTTGATCAGTAAGGTTTGGAAATCTACAAGGTATGAAAAAAACCTCAATTTTAATCTTCAAAAAAAAGTTATGAGTTTAAATGTTATGCCCAAAACAGAAATCGATAATATTATGAGTTTTCAAATTAAGAGTTGAAAATCACCTCACTCACATTGTTACTAAGAAAAGGTCAATGACCTTTTTAGCTCTGACTGTCTCTTGCAAGAATTGAGCAATGCACAGTACTGCCCCTGCAGTATCATAAGCTAAGGTAGCTACAGACAAGACAGAAAAAAGGGAGAAAACAAACAGAATGCAAGGGGGAAAAAGAGGGAAATGGGGGTGGGGGGGAGATAAAGTGTTATATTCTTTTCACCTAATCCATTTTCTCTTCTATCCAATGCATCAAAATAAAGGTCGCTGAAAAGAATAGGATACTCACGCACTAGAAATACAGCTTTTTGCTCTCGAGCTATTACCATAAGATCATTGGTTGGAGATAAGGATAAAACACAATCTTGGAGCCAGGAAGTTTTTTGTGTTTTGGAAGTATTTCCTTCTTCTTCCTGTGGGTAAAACTACAATTACTGCATATGCAAAAATACTGAGAGTATTCAAACTCAGCTTGCCTGCCTCAAGGGGTGAGGGGGAAGAAAAACAAGAAAAGGAAATATTTCCAATTCTCATACACTTTCATAATATTCCTTATCAAAGATCGTGAACCCAGGAGGCGGAGCTTGCAGTGAGCTGAGATCACACCACTGCACTCCAGCCTGGGCGACAGAGTGAGAATTCGTCTCAAAAAAAAAAAAAAAAAAAGCCAAAGATGACTGACAAACAAAATACCCACTATAAACAAATCTTCAGTTTTGAGTATTAATTCAAAAAATTTAAATATAAACAAGTATAAACTAGCAAGGCATTAAAAGACTGTCACATAGTGGCCAGGCGCAGTGGCTCACACCTGTAATCCCACCATTTTGGGAGGCCGAGGACAGGGGGTCAGCTTGGACAACATGGTGAAATCCCATCTCTACTAAAAATACGAAAATTAGCTGGGTGTGGTGGTGCGTGCCTGTAATCCCAGCTACTTGGGAGGCTGAGGCAGGAGAATCACTGAACCCAGGAGGTGGAGGTTGCAGTAAGCTGAGATTGCACCACTACACTTCAGCTTGGGTGAGAGAGCGAGACTCTGCCTCAGAAATAAATAAAAATAAATAAATAAATAAATAAATAAATAAAGTCACATAGGAATCACTCCAGGAATAATTCAGCATTAGGAAATTTAGTGACTAATCCTATTTACAAAGAGATAGCTAGACAGCAAAGAAAAAAAATCTGATGTTTATTATGGTTACAGGATCTATAAAAGCATTTGATATAATGTTACGCTTCTTTCTTTTTATTTGACCTACAAGGTGTTTTCTTTTTTCAATAGACATTTACGTATTGTACAGGTAAATTCCCATGGTTAAAAATTCAACAGCTATAAAAAGGTGTTCTTTGAAAAGTCTCTTATACTCTTGTACTCTAGCCATCTAGTTGTTAACTCTAGAGACAATGCAATCAGTTCTTATGTGTATTTCCAGAGACACCTCATGCACATTTACTACCCTTTTCCTCCCTTTTTCTTACAAGAATAGTAGCATAATATATACATATTTCCATACTTCGCTTTTTTCTCTTAACATATTCCTTAGACTTCATTCCACTTCCATATGAAGTTTCTTTGTTGTTTTTAATGTCTGCACACTATTCCATTTTATGGATGCACTATAATTTATTTAACCAGTTCCCTATATGCGTGGACATTTGTATTGCTTACCATCTTTTGCTGTTACCAACTATGCTGCAATGAATATGTTTATAAATTTGTCAGTTTGTGTGGAAATGTATCAGTAAGCTAAATTCCCAGAAGTAAAATTGCTGGGTCAAAGGGAATGTGTATTAGTAAATTTGCTGGATATTCCCAAACTGTGCCCCACACATGTTGTATTAATTTGTAATTCCATCAGCAATTTTTGAAAGTGCTTGTTTTTTCACAGGCATTTCGAAAAATATTTTAATGGTGGATCTCTGTCAATTTAATAGGTAAAATGTAGTATCTCAAAATACTTTTAAATTACATTTTTCTTATGAATGAGAATTTAGGCATTTTCTCATATACTTAAGAAAATTTCTCATTTTTATATAAAGGAAAGGAACAAACTGCATAATTTTCTATGAACAGCTTGTTCCCTTCCTTTGTAGATTTCCCATTGGGTTGTTGCTCTTTTTCTAATTGCTTTGTATACGCTCTTTACATACAAAAAAACCCAAAATTGGCCCTTTGAAAATAAGTGATGCAAATAGTTTTTCCTATTTGTGATGGCTTAATTTTTTCCATGTAGAAATTTTCTATTATCATGTAACTAAATTATCCATCTATTCTCTTATGGCTTCTAGGTTTGATGTCATGTAGACTCCTACCTTACTCAGCCCTACTTAATGTCTTTTAGATTCAATTATTCAAAAGGGGAGGGAAAGGCAGGGGAAAGCTATGCAGGTTAATTTCATTTTATAAAAAAATTATAATTTCGTGCTTTTTAAAAACTTGTACTAAGCATGCGTTACAAGCATTATAAAATTTAAAGATTTTAGAAACAGAAAATCATCCTAGTCAGAAATGTTATAGTAGTATTATATTTCTAAGAATAATAAATTATTTCGTGCTGGGATACCATCAAAGAAATGTTTAAAACACAAATAAAATATGGGCTATAGGGAATCTTTAGAAATACCCCAAAATGAGCCTGAAACCTCTGGGACAGTCATGCAATTATTTTTCTTTTGCAATGGGATATTAGGAAACAAACACATTTGGAACTTTTTTCTCAAGCAAAATAAGCTAAGGAGGCTGCACCATCTCCTGAAAGATAGGGAGAGCATAACATTGGCAAAATCTCATTTTATTAAAGCTCTACTTTTCCAAGGAATTCTGTATCTAGCTTGTTGTTTTTAATGTTTGTTTTCCTACAGATAAATTAGAAAATTATCCCCCAAAGATAAAAGTCATAAGGTAAAACTTCGTTGTAATTAAATTTTTCCCTGGTTCCACAGCTTCTGCTGTAGGATAGTCTTTGTTTATCCAACACATCCCTCCTCATGATGGCTCGCCTGTAAGGTGAGGACATTACCTTATGGTTTCCTCCAATAACTGAGACTCCAATTATACCAACTGTGAGGTACAGGACCTTCTAAGTGATTAGAGTTCCACTTTCAGGTAGGAGCTTAGAAGAGGACAGTTTATATAGGAATATTATTTAGGCATTGCGTTTGATAAGAAATTGGGAGGGTCCAAAACTCTTTGATTGGTCTCTGACTCTTATCCTAAAATCTCCCTCTCAATGCAATAAAAAAGAATCAACATAATGCTTCAGGAAAGGAATACAGCCCTTATTTGGGCATGTTCTCAAAAAAATTTGTTTTAATAATTAAGCATCTATACAAATAGATTCCTTCCTCTTATCACACTTCCAAAACTACATTTAATCAGTAAATCCTAAAAATATTATAAAAGTTGTTTTTCTTTTTTTTTCAATAAAGAATATTGTTCCTATGTTTCTGTCCCATGTTTTCAAAATAATGCCACTAACAAGGATTAGATCTGATGTTTATGTGCACAGAAAAGACAAAGAGTCAAAGATGGAAGACATTTAGAGGCCAACTGGTCCAAAATCTAATTTTATAATAAAGGAAGTGGAGTCTCGGGGAGGTTAAGGGATGTGCTCCAGCCATGGAATTAGTGTCAGAGCCCAAACTAAAATCTAGGCTTCCTGATTCTTAATTCAGGTGGTCTTTCCATTCTATCACCCTGCTCATCTCTGTGGGTAGCTGTACTAGCTCTTTGGGAAGCTTGTCTTTACTTGAGATTTGACTCTAGTCTCATATTCAGTGAAAACTCTTTTCTCCAAAAGAACTACTGTATTATCAGTTTATTCCAGCCTAATCTTTCTGTAGTTCTTTCAGTCGATTTAGAGCTAAAAGATGACCACTGTATTTGAATATGTGAGCCAGAGTATTCTTGAGGTATTTCTTCAAGAACTCCTTTAAAAATACTTTCCCTCTCCTTTCTGTCTTTCCATTAGAAGTTCCAATTCCTCTGGCAAACCTATCCTACCCTGACTCCTAACCTTCTTTCAAACTTACTGCAATTAAAAGTCTTACCACTCCCTGCTACCTGTATATTCTGTGACTATATTTCTCCCACACTAGACAAGAGGCCCTCTGGCTGGCAAGATCTATGGTTTATATCATTTTTCAACTCCATATGTAGCACACTCCACTAATAGAATATATGAGTAAATAACAGCATTCCCTATCTCTTGAATAACATATTATCCATTCATACACCTGAAACTGTATGACAATGAGCAATCAATGTAAAGCTAGCATATTCAGTCATTAGTAATGTTTTTTCTTCATACTAAGATTTAATAGTTCAAGATTCTGGCTGACATATCCATGGTAAGTATGAGTTAAAGAGATATAAGAACAGAATACCACTGTATCATAGTCCTCTTATGTATCATAGTCCTCTTAGTTGGGCCTAAAACTCGGTGTCAGATTATGATCAAGCTGTCTGCTGCTACCCCAACAAATGGACTATAAGTGATTCCAGAAGCAAACATGAATTTTGTCCCAAAAGGACTAACCATGACAAAAGCACTGGAAATAGACGTCACTTGCTTGGAAGCAAATTCAGAAAAATGATTCCATAATCAATTATTATATCCCTAACCCTGCTTGGCCATCTTATAAATGTACGTTTTTAGTTACATGAAACCTGAGAATAAAACTTGATGTGGATTAGCACTCTAGTTTCATCTACCGAAGACAGGGGAATAAAGAAGCAAAAAGCCAAAATCTTCCATCATTCTTTATTGCACTTTCTTTTCTATGTCCTTTCTACTTCTCCAACTTTCTCTGTTACTGTGGTACCAAAAATATATCCTCCTGGTTTGCCATGGTAAAGTTGGATATGTACAACTGAGCATTGTATATTATAAAAATAGGTTAGAAAATACAATAATATTATTATATAATCATTAGAGTTTGATGTGCCATAAAATTCTAGATCTAAACTTTTAGTCGTGCTTCTCAAGAATGATGCTAACTTGTCACATCATTCTGAGCAAACTATCACAAGGACAGAAAACCAAACACCGCATGTTCTCACTCATAGGTGCGAATTGAACAATGAGAACACTTGGACACAGGGTGGGGAACATCACACACCGGGGACCTGTGGTGATGTGGGGGGAGGAGGGAGGGATAGCATTAGGTGATATACCCAATATAAATGACCAGTTAATGGGTGCAGCACACCAACACGGCACATGTATACATATGTAACAAACCTGCACGTTGTGCACATGTACTCTAGAACTTAAAGTGTATATATATAGAATGATGCTAATTTGTCACAAAATGCAATGGTGTTGTGTTCTTAATACAAGCTCCACAAGCTCTTTGGATCCACAACCACATGGGGGAGCAGCTGTATACCTATTGCAACTGGAAGTTC